ATTGTGGACCCTCGGCACGTCGCAGCACGATGGGGTGCAGAGCTTTCAGCCGCTCTGCCCCCAAACTCTGGAACTCGCTCCCACCCGACATCCGAAATATTGACTCTCTTCCTATATTCAAAACTCATCTTAAAACCCACCTATTTAAAATTGCATATACAGTTTAAACTCATCGCTTTTATTATTTATAATTTTATCTGTGGTTTTATTGCTCTTTGATTGTAAAGTGTCCTTGGGTATTTTGAAAGGCGCTTATAAATAAAATGTATTATTATTATTATTATTAAATTTATTTGATAAAATCCAACACCAAAAACATACATGTCATCTTGAAACGCAATTTGAAATAAAAATAAAATAGAGAACAACAGGCTGAATAAGTGTACGGTAAACTAACGTTACATGACTGACATGCGTGATAATGTCAGTAACGACGTAACATATTAAGAGTTATTCAGCTAACTCTAGCATAAAGAACATGCTAACAAGTTTACCAAACTATCAGTTTCACTCCAAATCACTAAATTCAATGAAATCTTCATCCTCTGTGTCACTTTTAAACAACTCCCCCAACTCGGGAGGTAGACGATGCGCCGCTTCCTCTTCTACGTCACTTACGTCAGACTTATCGTCGATTTATCAACACAGACTGAGAGCGCCCTCTTGTGAAAATAACATGTGAAACGACATAATTATGTGTTAATAATTTCACACATACATCGCTCCAGAGTATAAATCGCACCCCCGGCCAAACTATGAAAAAAACTGCGACTTATAGTCCGGAAAATACGGTAACTCATGACTACGCCCTGCTGCTCCGTACTCCTCATTTTGCATTTTAAGTCACGTTTTTTATTTTTGCGCTTGACAATATTTAGGAGGGTGCTAGCCATATAACCATGTTTATAACTGCTTAACAGAGGCGTAAATCCCCCCCCCCATATATATATATATACGTATATTTATAAAATATTCCTAGAAATTAGTTTGTGTGTGTGTGTGTGTGTGTGTGTGTGTGTGTGTGTGTGTGTGTGTGTGTGTGTGTGTGTCAGTAAAATGCCTCTGTTGTCGTGTTACCATTGATCTAGGTATTTGTACAGTTGAATGTGTCAGTGTGACACGACAGTATTGGGGCAGCTCTGCATTTCTTTTTTTTTGTTTTGTTGTTGTTGTGTAATAGTAGCCTGATTTGTTTTTCTTTTCAGGACGTGAAAATAGCTCCAGATTTCCTAGAGACTGTGTGTTTGCTGCACAATATGGTTGTATTTGTGATTGCCGTTCTAATCTTTTACATGTTAGTATTGGAATACATTTGTGTTATTACTGGCTTATTGTGTGACTGTCTTTGACTCTTAGAAATTGGAAGAATATCTTTTATTTATTTATTTATTTATTTTATAGAAAGAACAAAAGCAGTTTAATCACTTCCTCTACCTTAACCAGCGCCTTTGGCATTGTTGACTATATAGTTTGTTATTCATCAGTTAGCAACAGACAGATTTCCCAGACCAGTCTTTCTTTTTTTTTTTGTGTGTTGCAAATTGCTGGCACATGACACACTGTCTGTGTTAAATAGCACCGGCCATTTGGTAATTGTAAACAAAGCCATTTAAAGCAAGGCAAGCCGATAGAACACATTTGCTTGACTATTTTCTTGTAATTATTTGTTAAACTGGGATCACACGTCTACTGCATTTGGCTAAAGTGGACAGACATGCTTAAATGTTGATTATTATTAGATCTGAGCCATATTTTCATTCCAAAACAGTGTCTCTCTACTTAATGGTAGTATGACAGAAAAACATAAACAGTCAAGAAAGCAAAGTAAAGTTTTGGGACCTTGATATCCAGTTACTTGAATTACTCAAGGACCCGTGTCACCCTCAAAACCCTTTTACATGACAATTTTTGCAGTTCGGAACAAACTCAAGTTTAAACCCAAGAACATAACATCGTGTATTTTATAATCTTATCTATTTTGGATTGTGGTGCTGGAAGAAATAACCCACACAAGCCCCACAGAACAGGACAATATCATTTAGGTCAACATAGAAAGTCTGTGGTGACAAACTGTGGTGTTGTCCTCTTTAAGAACTTTCACTTTGTGCTGTCTGATGAATGTTTTCACAGAACGTCCTCCCCCGAGGATCTCTAAAACGCCTGAAGTATTGAAGAATAGACTGAAACTTGTATCTTGTCAAGTGGCTGCCCACAATAGAATCATCTGGATTTCGATACTCTACATACTTTCAGTAGATGAATAATTTACCTAAAAGACGTACTGGATCCCAAAGGTTTTATTGTGTGCACCCACTTGCCGAAATAAACGAGTAAATTCAATACACCATTTTTTCCAGTGTATAAAGGATAACAGTAGGTGCTGTCAAAGTTCTATTTTTGTCAGCTTTACGTGATTATGCTGTCTCTTTAATGATCCCATTCAGTGGTTCAATGACAAATTACAGATACATATACTGCAGCTTTTGTGTGGGGCCATTTGCAGTCTTGTGGAACACAGCTGATGTTCACACAGCTGGTATGGGGTCTGTTCCTTACTCAATGCCTCATTCACAATTGCCTGCGATGTAGTCAGCTGGGATGGGCACCAGCCACTACAAATCGAAACAGGAGAAGCGGACATAAATGAGCTGGCAAATAGTATTAAGAGGGAGAGCCGTAATGTAATTGCAGCCGATTCACTATTTTACGAGACTGTTTAATTCAAACGTCATCAATGTCCCTTTTGTTTATTCTCTTAGTTAGCTGAAAGGGGAAAGATAGGATAAACTTTTCTTGAGAGTTTATGCTCACACAGGGACGTGAGGAATTTTGTCTCACAATATACAGGTATTTCTGTTTATAACATTTACCATGTTCAATTTAACTCACGGGGTCTTGGTTTTTTTTCAACCAGCAAAACTGGATGAAAACTGTTACAATATGCAAAAATATCCCTGCTATATAGTTTGCATGTTTGATCCTGCAGGCAGTATCAGATCTTTGTACATGTAAACATGTAGCTGAACATCTGCCTCCTGTTACTGCAATTCGCTTCATCGCCTCCTGTTACTTATTGGGCAAGACGATATACATCTGTTTAGTTACCAGGCCATAATTGAACCAAGTCCTCTCAAACACTCCAATCAGATACATTTGGTCCTATACTATACACTATCAACTTCTAAAACCAATACAACCCTTGATTTAATCCAACGTTACCAGTGTGCAAAAACTTTAGGTCAACGCAGTTAGCTGTATCATAATGAGCAGGATCTACTTTTCTCCTTGTTTTGCACAAAGACGTCCCAATTTAATCCGACGTATTATCCAAACAGAACAGCATGCAAACACTTTAGGTCCTTATAAGCTGCACCAGAAAAAAACAGGATCTGCTTCACCCCAATTTTTGCACAATGATGTTAAATATGTGGTAGCGCAGAAGCTGTATGTGTTAATTTTTCGCTCTGTGGTTCTGTCCTCTTTACTTTAGGTCCACTTCTTCCAGCTGTCGTTCTGAGTTGGCGGCAGGCTGTGAGAAAAGGTTCCACTCTGCAGTGCCTCGAAACTCCTCAGACGCTTGTCCTTCACATCCAATTGATGTTTGTCAATTGTTGTGCCAGTGGCCTTTCGAGAGGTATGACAACGGCATCTCAAAAAAGAGGCCCCTCCTCCTTCATTCATCATTGAGCACACCAAGTGATATCATGAAGAAGGGTCCTGGAAGTCCGCTCTTCAAGGAGTCTGCTTGCAAGATATGAGCATTTTGAACCCGGTGACGGATAACAAATCAAACCTTGTGGGAGTCGTGGGAAGCCCAGAAGAATACCATAGAGGCATGCAGTCAGAGGAGTTATTTAGCAGAAAACTTAAAACCCTCAATGGTAGCATGGGACCACCAGGCTCCAACATGCAGGGCAAGCTTGAAGGTCCCGGCAAAATAAATGGTAATCCAGCCATGCCTAAAATGGGCGTCAGGGCCAGGGTAACAGAATGGCCACCAAGAAAAGATGGATGGGATGGACGGCCATCACCAAACTATCAGAGTGTGATACCAATATTTCAGAACGGCCAACAGGACCATACTGTGGAATTAACTGCGCAAGATGAAACTGGGTGTTTGGAGGTAGACTACTCTGATGTGAAGTATACAATGAGTGACCTCCTTAGCCACTCACCATTGAAAGGCCTTCACCCTATTCGTCAACGCAGCAACAGCGATGTCACAATCAGCGACATTGATTCTGAAGACGTAGTCGACCAGACAGCTGTCAATCCGAACACCGGCGCCTCTTTACATCGTGAATATGGAAGTACATCCTCTATTGACCGCCAAGGTTTAAGTGGGGACGGCTTTTTTACCATGCTCAAAGGCTACAGAGTGGATTCCATGGACCACCGCAGTGTACCACCCCTGGGTTTTCCAGAGTTGTTGCGCTGTGATGCCTCCCTCTCCCCCAGTTTACAAACAGCAGCCCAGATTGCCAGGGGGGAGTTTGTCACAATTCCAGGCTACGACTATATAGACAGCGCTCTCCTCTACAGCAGAGAAAGGGAGAAGTCATTCATGAGGCGTCTTAAGTCAGAGTCATCCGAAACATCTTTGTTTCGGAAATTGCGGACAATTAAGAGTGAAAGCGATGCTTTGAGACTCTCTCTGGAGGATGACCGTAGACCACTCAGCTTTCAAAAATGCTTTGCTCATTATGACGTTCAGAGCGTTCTTTTTAACATTAGTGAAGCTGTTGCAAGCCGAGCTAACCTGAGCCAGAGGAAAAACACCACTACTGGAGCTTCAGCTGCTTCCGCTGGAGGCTTGTCCAGTGTTGGGGCCAGTGCTCTACCGGGACCAGGACCAGATGCTGGAGTTATAGGATGTAGTAGTGGAAATTCTGCCTTTTTTGAGTCACCACTAGGCAGCAGGGAAGACTTGAACCCAAAGGAGAACTTGGATGCTGACGAGGGGGACGGAAAGAGCAATAGCCTCGTGTTGGGCTGCCCGCACTTTCGCAACGAGATTGGAGGTGAAGGCGAGAGAAAGATTTCACTTTCCAGAGCCAACAGTGCCAACTATAGCGGACTATCAGAGAGCTGCTCCTTTGAATCCTCGCTGAGTTCCCACTGCACCAATGCCGGCGTCTCTGTACTCGAGGTGCCTCGAGAAAGCCAGCCCATCCATAGAGAGAAGGTCAAGCGCTACATCATTGAGCACATTGACCTTGGTGCTTACTACTACCACAAGTTCTTCTATGGAAAAGGTAAGACATTTTTATCGACATTTGCCTGCCAGTATCGCTACAAGTCTTGTAACACAGTCTATCATTTTACCAGATGCTGTTTTTCTTAACAAAAGCACTTTCATGTATATAATATTCTTACCCTATGAAACTGTGTTTTGACCTCATAGAATTGTGTTAAAAAACACAAACACATAGGCAGAATTAGGTAAACGGACACATTCTAGACCAACAATGACCTGACCTGACCTGCAGAGCAAAATACAATTTTGATATTAGCCTGTCAAGTGGCTGCCGGCTCACAGCGAGGTAAAAATTGAGACAATATTCTAAGCATAGCATGCGAGCGACAGATGGAACGCTGCCATTTCTGAGGTGGCAGAACTTAGTTTTGCAAGCTAATATCTATTTCAGGATGCTTAATACGCTCTCGTGAAAGTTTTTAATTTGACATGATTGTGTTACAGCAAATACAAGTAAAGTGATCATTATTCAAAGACTGTGCTGCATCTGCAACAATAATAGCATTAAAAAAAAACAACTCCTTGGAATATATTTCCTTGAGGAAAACACCCATGCAGTGGGAAAGCAAGTTCTCCACTGGAGCAGCCTTAGCTCATCATATCAGATATCTTATTATCTTATACTGTATATTAGGACTAGAACAATAGCTGGCTTGTGTTGGGTACATGGAAGTATATTTCCCTTCCCTGAGAAGGAGCGGTCATGTCCTCTGTGGACATTGTGCTCAACGTTGCTAAGAAGCTGTGATTAGTCATGTCTGAAGTAAGAGGTGAGTGAGAGCCTGTGTTGCAGCTGTTCCCAAGGGGGGCAGTTGGCTGTGAGGACCCTTCCTATGAAAGTATGGGGTCAGTGAAACCACACCGAGGTCCCCGATGTCCCCATTAAACCACCTGTGAGTATGGCTGTAAATACCCATGCCAGCCCAACCCATCACATCATTATATCCATATCCGTTTTCCCACTGTCTTAGGTTTGACTGCGCTCACGGATTGAATTTCCCAACCTTAAGCCACACAGAAAACAGCTGTTTCACCTTTTAACACTGGCAGATGCCTGAATGTCCACAAAAAAAGTGCTCTGCTTTTCAATTAAACTCAGAGTGTCAGTTTGGAACTTCACTCAAAGCCCTCCTGGCAAGGTTAATAAGACTATTACTGTATGTTTGGCTGTACCATTGAACTTCCTCGGATAATCGTTGACTATGAAAGGCTCCTTCCGTTCCTCACTCTCCAAATGGTTCTGTTTCAAGTGTTTGACCGCTCTGGTAATTCAGGCCGCCGCATACTGCATAGTGTGTCGAGCTGAAGTAGCACATGCAGCTGTCACTTTGCTTTTCTTGCCCATCTCTTTTTGTAAAGGTGACACTTTTTCACAGTTTCTGACTGTAGCCCTTGCCCTTTTTATGAGGTGTTTTACTGGAGAGACAAGTCTGTCATCACCTCAGACAGACACACAGTCATGCACAAACAAAGATGCACTTTCACACAAGCATGACGTGGACTCAATCTGGCCTGCTGAACATTGATCTCACTGATTGCTTGAAGCCATATTTGCATCAGCAGGAATGGTATTCCCCAAGACTGCCCGAATGAACAGTGTTTATCCATATAGTCAAAAGCCAGGCTCCTGGTGGTCACATCTTGTATATCGGAAGACATTAAACGAATAAACTCTTTATACAACATTGTGTTTTTAGCACAGAGAGAGAGAGAGAGAGAGAGAGAGAGAGAGAGAGAGAGAGAGAGAGAGAGAGAGAGAGAGAGAAAGAGAGAGAGACACATTTGATGCTGAAGTGGCTTGTGCATTGCATGTGCAAGGTGCCAGGAAGAAGACGAAGACAAACTTGAGGTGTTATTTGACATGACAACCCAAGCCATCCATTGTGTAACCTTTGGCATTTTGTCAACAGCAAGTGATGTGAGCCAGTGACATGTTACGGAAAAGTGTTGACAAAGAAAAAAAAAACTCAGCTGCAGTTGACACCATTAGTAATCACATGCGGCTTGGCTTTCTACCAGCATTTGACCTCATGCCTTACAGACCGTTCCATCCCTAACAAGTGTTAACTCAATACATATGTATTATTCATGATTAAACGTGCAATACAAAAATGATATGGAGCTGTGCATTTAAGAGGCATTTGCGCAAACCATCAGAAGGAATCTTATCATGGGCATGGACCACAGAATCCTTCATTTTCTTTTGCTTCATCAATTCCAGAGGTAAAACAATAATATAACCTGGACTCACCAAACTCCTACAGTCTTAAATGAAAATCCATCTAGATCCAGTCTGTTCCAGCTCTATTTTTCATTTTTATTGTTAGTGTTATTATTTCTTTTAAAACATTAAATTCAAGAGTACCTATTTTTTTATATCAATTTCAATGAATCAATGTTGTCCAATGTTTTAGGTCATTGATAATTAACCTGGGTTCGATCGAACCCCAGGGGTTCGGCGAATCGGTCTCTGGGGTTCGACGGAGCCTCTGCCATGGAGGTTAAATTTTATTTACTTTTTTCTGGTTTTAATAAATACATTTTTTCTGTCTTGAATTTGTAAAAAAAAAAAAAAAAAAAGAATCAAACTTTTATTTTCACTAATGAAGGGTTCGGTGAATATGCATTTGAACTGGTTGTACCTCTAACAAGGTTAAGAACCACTGTTTTAGGTGATGTGTCCTGTTGTATAATTGTTTTGTTCTGTGAAGCTCTTTGTTACAGTTGCAGCTTCTGTGAAAGTGCTACATCAACAAAGATGTATTGTATTGACTTTTAAAGTTCAAACCTTTTACATCAATAAATATTGTGTCAACGCAAAAACGGAGGTTTTATCTTTTGATCAGCTGCCAAAGAAGTCTTCACAGATGCTTAAGAAAGGTCTGGAATACATGCCAACGCTGAACTGTTGAGATTATTTTGGTCTTTTTTTTTTTTTTTAAATGTGTCTCCAGAGCATCAAAACTATTTTGGTGTAGACGACCATCTGGGACCTGTAGCAGTCAGCATCCGCAGGGAGCGGCTGGATGACGGAAAGGAGAAAGATGGAATGCAGTACAACTATCGAGTCACCTTCCGAACCAGTCAGGTAAACATAATGCTCTGATGTTTGATCTTTCTGTCCTGCTTAGTGTCATAAATCGGTCTTGAACAGTTACAGATCCATGGTAGAGACACCTATTTCCTGTAAGAGTATTGACTTGTCTTCTGGACTTGCTTTTAAATGTTATTCCCCACATTGCCTTCAGCACACGTTCAAGTCAATGCGATTATTCAGGTGGTACAAGGGTGTTCTCAGATGAAATGAAACCGCTGGTCTACAGAGGTGACACAGAGAGAGTGTAACCATGTGTGATCAAAGCACCTACCTGAGTTGATACCGCTTTTTTCATATGGTGAAGTCAATCTATTTTAGATTCAAAAAATACTGTTGCTGTACTACCTCGATTGAAGACAAAGTGATTATTGAATGCTACTAAAAAAAAAACAATAAATAAAAATAAAAAAAAATAAATAAAAAAAAGAAATGCTTGATGAGGATTGCAGCATTGGTTTGTTTATTGTATCCACCCAAACATAAATGACATTTAGCAGCTCTGACTTTTTTTCCATGGCATTGGGGAGAGTTAAAATTTTTGGAGCAACATACACCTGATTGGTTAATGAAATTTACTATTTAGTATCACAAACAAGGCGGCCCGGTGGGCGACTGGTTAGCACATCCGCCTGACAGTGCAAAGGTGCAGGGTTCAATTCCGGCTCCAGCCTTCCTGTGTCGAGTTTGCATGTTTTCCCCGTGCAGGCGTGGGTTTTCTCCAGGTTCTCCGGTTTCCTCCCACATTCAAAAACACACATAGCAGGTTAATGGAACACTCGAAATTGTGAGTGTAAGCGCGAATGGTTGTTCGTCTGTGTGTGCCCTGCGATTGGCTGGTAACCAGTTCAGGGTGTACCCCGCCTACTACAGAAGACAGCTGGGATAGGCTCCAGCACGCCTGCCACCCTTGTGAAGATGAGCGGATTAGAAATTGGATGGATGGAGTATCATAAACAAATGGAGGATGCATCTTCCTTTATAATTAAATGCAAGTTCTAATGTGAGTCTGTTTTTAATTCATGATAACCTACCAAAATGTGAATTTTAACACATTGTCAAGATGGCCCTGTTGCCAGCTTCTGCCTATATATTTTTTTTTCTCCTTTTTCTTCAACATAAGAATAGACTGTATTTCATCTTAGAGGCGGGACAGTGTGGTCTTGAGTAATGATAGTAAGCAGCAGGTCTCTCCGGACCGAGCCTCGTTGCTGCCATGCCAAACAAACCGGCCGCCTTGCTCGACACCCTTACTTAGTGCGTTATTACGGCTTCTTTTGTGACAAGGCTGTAAGTGTGCAGAAACGCTTCACTGACCATGAAAAGAAGGGGAAGCTCACGCTCCCCAAATCTACATTAAACACCCAAATGCGTCCTTTGGTTCTATGTCAGTCATGGCTCAGTTAGTCCGTCTTGCAGATGCTGTCACTTTGCCACTGGCCTTGCTTGCACGCGCTCCCTCACCCATGCTCACACAATGTCATTAATCCACAAACTGGAATGCTTTCTCTCACATGGTCCCTGGTGGTTCAAGAACTCTCTCACTGATAGATGCTTGGTGGTCTCAGCCGATGAATAATTCAGGTGTAACAGATGTGTCAGGCAAAGAAATGTCACTGATATCCAGGACCACATTTAGGTTTAGGCGACACTCCCTCGATAAAACAATGTATCTGGGTCATGCGACCCCTGCATGTAGCACGCAGTTTTAACTCCCGAACCAGTGGAGCGTCTATTTGCATGGGATCCTATCATTAAGCCCCGGCGTTGCTTGCCGCTGTGTCCCACTCTCGCTTGCTGTTAAGTACTCTACTTTTCAGCATGCCTCTCTCTCAGGCAACCATTGACTGCTGACATCTAAGTCCGCAGGCCGTGCAGTTCGGAGTGGGGATTCATAGGTGTAAATGTGTCTGTAATGTTCCAAGCAACAACACGTCGTTACCGGCAGCGCACTTTAAAGCTGTTTGCTTCAACCATTACCGGCACATTAATGGCCGTACCACTAAAATACCACTTACTATGCAGTGTTCAGTTAGACTATTTTCATTATTTACAATGGGAGATGGTAATGCTGCCCACTGGAGCTGGAATGAGCCATTGCCCTGAATCAGCACGGCATATCATGAAATTGGATTAGAACCGGATCTCGCAACAGCTCGCATGAGCGTACCCATTTTAATATTGGTACAAAATGTTTCAAGCCATCATCAAATCATTGTGTTCCAGATATACTGACCTACTTGGAAGGATAGCACACAGAGACCTCACCCTAATAGTTTTCGGGTCACAACTTTAGATACACCTGTATGACGATACAGAGACAGAGAGCCAATACAAAAATTATGTCTTTAAAAAGATAGTCATGCTCAGTTTTGATTGAAATGGACAAACTGGTATTGATTGAAGAATATGGGCCTAAGTCACGAATGGATTGCATGGCTTTTGCGTGGAGCTAACCGGTAAAAATGGAGCAAACGGATTCATTCGGCATCTGATTCACAAAGCAGGCGCAGATTGTGGAATGCTACTCTTAACGGCGCTGCCAAGCAGAACGTGTCTTGGTGCGCCGGCGGTATGTACATGTATTTAAATGAGATAATATGCATATATTTGGGGGGGAAATTGCTCACCTCAATGCAAATGAGCCTCATTGAGAAACAACCTTTAATTCACTAACACCAGCTTCATGCAGTTTGAGTGATGCAAATAACCTCTAAAGAAAGCTGGTCGAAACTTCTCTGTTGAAGCCTGATCATGGCAGTAGTAGCACAGAGAATCGTCATGCCAGGCAGCTCCCCACATCCAGATCACGCATTCTGCATAGTACACCATCCGCCGTGGGTGTATGGCCTCATTTTGCGCGAGGATACTAATTGCAACCTGCACCATCTGACCAATGTGAAGACTGCTCCGACATGCCGTCCAAAATTCCCTCGTCGACAAAATAATTTCAGGCCATGAAAGACGGCTGTTCAGCCCAGGCATCCTTTGCACGTCACATGCGATCGCTCTGATTTGCTGTTGACTGGTCACCCACATTTTCAAATGATCACACCAACATTTTATATTTTATGGACATGAAATGAATCTTCATCACCTTCCTCTCCATTGGCAGCTTAATGTCGCCTCATGAGGAAAACATTAATGTCCATTACCTCTAAAATATTGAGCCGATACTTTTGATATTGTCAGAGATTTATTTGGGTATAAGTACAGATGTGCATGCCATTTTTGGTGATGACTGCTTACTGTTTTCTGACAGTCCTATTCGCACCTCCTAAGTCAGGACCCCAAGCTCGCGTTCCGAAAATGTCATCTCTCTCTTCCTAATTGCCATTGTTCTGCCACAGTGACACAAAGCCAACAGTTACTTTGTCATGTGTGGCTTATTGCAACCAGGGGGACTTCAGGAGCAGAATACACAGATGTCAAACTTTGTGGGCGTGTTTGCACTGGTATATCATTAGCGCAATATCCTTTGTGAGTAGGACGTATAGACGGAGCAAACTGCCAGTGTAACTGAAGTTCAATTCAAGGTGCTATCAGCGGCCACAGTTCATTTTTAAGATAAGATAAAACCTTTATTTGTCTCACAATGGAGAAATTCCAAATATACAGAAGCAAAATTATGAAAGGGAGAAGTAGAAGAACAAAAAGTATATAAATAAATACACATTATAAAATATAGATATAAGCATATTAAAAATGGGTGAGCGGCGGTTTGGGGGTTGCACTTAACAGTGATGTCAAATATAACTTGACTGCATCAAAAATACATCTGTTTATATACTATTCCTCCCCTCTTATTGATTAGGTGTCCCCAATATTGTGTCCAGTCTATAGAGTGTAATTGTTGAGCCGTTTCCATCTCTATCCTGACAGTTGACCACCCTTCGAGGAGCCATTCTGGAAGATGCAATCCCATCCACAGCGCGACATGGGACGGCTCGTGGGTTGCCGCTGAAGGAAGTACTTGAATACGTAATCCCGGAGCTCAATATCCAATGCTTGAGGTTGGCAATCAACTCCCCTAAAGTACCGGAACAGCTACTCAAGTTGGATGAACAAGGGGTAAGTGCAAACGTGTTTAGTCGGTGATCTCATTCAAGAGAACATGCTTGTATGAAAAGAAGTCTTCCAAATAATTTGATATGTTGGGGGACGTTCTGGGAGCATCTCAGCATTCATTATTAACAACACAGGCATGGAATGTCATAACAGAATGTCGAACCCATAAAACAGAAGCTGTAATGGCTGTGCAGAACGAGGTTAAACTAAAAAGGACACGAAAGCTGCATGCTCTCTCTCTCTCTCTCTCTCTCTCTCTCTCTCTCTCTCTCTCTCTCTGTGTGTGTGTGTGTGTGTGTGTGTGTGTGTGTGTGTGTGTGTGTGTGTGTGTGTGTGTGTGTGTGTGTGTGTGTGTGTATGCGTGCATGCATGTATGTATGTGTATATATGTATGTTTACGCTGACCCAAACACATGAATTCCTAAAATCCCAATCCACTTGTGCAGTTGACCATATTGGGCTAACAATATTTATCAACTGTCAATGCCATTGTTTCCCCAACTCAATGCCGTTGAGGGAACTTTCAGACATGGTGGAGATCGAAGGCGGCAAAGATCACACTTTAAAATAATATAAATCTTAAATGTGTGGTTCCTGCATTTATTATTTTTACTCTGATAACCTGATTTGAAGTTACCCCTTTCACGCCGTCTGTGCTTGTGATGGGGTATTTTGGAGAAATGGTGCAGGATGTCCCCTGATATTATCAAGATGTGAGTGGTCTTTTAGTGATAAGAACAAGACATGTCTTAGGCACAATGGACAGGAAGAGGTGTGCAGGGATTAAGCAGCATTGCGCTTGTTTGTCTGCCTATTAGAGATATGGCTCCTTATCATTGGAATTATATATGTTAGCAATAAGCTTTCTTTCCAAATGTCAGGGGACAGCCTCTTAAAATGGCGATGAGAGTGGCATTTCCCTCTCGTATATGATTTTTTTCTTCTCGCTAGAGTGTAAACAGGAGTCAATTGTAAAAGTGACCACTTTTAGCTTTAGCATCTTTATTTGTATACAGTAATCCCTCGTTTATCGAGGTTAATGGGGACCAAAACCACCCGCGATAAACGAAAATCCGCGAAGTAGCGTCCAATTAACATAAACAGGTAAAAAAAAATAAAAAATATTTTTTTTAAAGTCCACAAACGGTCCGTGAGAAGCTGCAAAACAACAGCGAGTCACATAGAGCAACATATACAGTACTGTACTTCATGTATATGTTGAAAAAACAAAAACAAAAACAAAAAAAATAATAATTTTTTATATGTTTGAAAAAATCCACAATGCACTGAACCCGCGATAAACGAACCGCGAAGTAGCGAGGGATCACTGTACACTCTTGCTTTGATCATTAAAATGATCTTTGTGTAAATGTTTAACAAGGCAAGCAAACTGGATTTTAAGCAACTCAGCAATATTACAGGAAAGACTCCAACTTTTACAGTCTTTAATTTTTTTGTACATGAATGCACAGTGGATTGTGCGGAACAGTTATTTTTGGGGGGAGATTTTTGTATGTCTATCAGATTATACTAGGTGTGTTTGCCTGGCTCGTGAGAGAAGGCCTTAACAGTATTTACATGTTCAGTCGTGCTGACAGAAAATCCCTCAAAGCAGCACGTTCAGTTGCCAGGATGAAAAAGGAGGTCAAACGTAAATGTATTGTACATGTGCGCAGATGGACTGGAAAATGCATTAGCCTGTTAGATATTTTGGGATATGATTTTAGATTGTCTGTCGTAAATTATATTCTAAAGTAAGCTATTCATATATTCATAAAATATCTGTTGCCTCCATCTGGAAAATGACAAAACCCTTTTATTTTTATGTTACATAAACTCAAACATTGTATATTTAATTTTAACAAGGACGGATGGGAACAAGACTGGAACTAGCATCTTGGTGTTACAGAAGAAAATAGAATTCTTGTCATTATTTATTGCCATCTTCAATTCATATCTTTTTGAAATATTAGTACCACAGATACAAGGTCATCTGAAATTCCTTTTTGATCAGATAGATAGCTTCCACTCATCCTTGAGCAGCATCCTGACATATAATAGACTTAAATGAGATTTGTTCACCGGTTCAACAACGCAATATATCTATTGAGGCTGCTATTTTTTGTGCTTCCCGCCCCTTAAGAAAATCGAGCACCTGCCATCATATTTAAACATGAGGATTCATAAAACGAATGCCCCCTCATTTGTTCGGCACAAGTCCCTCTGTCATTCTTAATGTGCCTAAAAAAATAATGTGTCTTTCTATTTTTGTGGTTGTATACTGTTGAGGGAGATGGACCTTGGAGATTTGTTTCGTCTTACAGTGTTTCATGAGTTGGAACCACTTCAGGAAAATCTATTGGAAAGTATAGTGTAGTATGAGCTGGATCCCAGGAGCCTTACCGGTGCACTTGTGTTTGCACTTTTCAAGCGCTGACCAAATCCCACCACGTAAACGTAATTGTCCTTGCTATCGGCCAATGTCTGAACAAGAGTTAAAGGTGATGTGATCCCAATAAATGTATTTTTCTTTCCCAAAGGCCGGAACTTCATCTTGCCATTGCCACTGCTTGACATGGTATAATAGCCTTCTGTCAGTGCTGCCACTTTAGTGCGCAGCAGATTGCCTGATAGAGAAAATCACCATGACAACGGTGTCAGCAGTACACCAGGAGCCGATGACCTGTAAGGGAGGAGAAAAGCAATTCTACTTTGTTGCCATTACTTTTCACATCCACAACAACCCTTTTTTTTTTTAATGGAAAGAGTGGTTGACCCCGCAAGTTCAAGTGAAGATGCGGGCAACAGGTGCCAAATACTGAGGCAGGCGGTTATTTATTTTACTTCCCCTTTGACTCTTTGTTTTGGCCAGGTTCAAAGAGCAGTGAGCCATTCAAAAGTGATGCTGGTGGAGAGGGCTCCACATGTCATTTTGACCTGGCCAGTGCCGGTAATAATACCCGCAGTCAACACAAAACTAACTGTAGTCTTATATTTTGACTCTGTCAGCAAGACTTTGCCATTTAGACACGTATTTTACCCAAGCCAAACGGTACCATGAGGATAAATATGACAATATTAGTCTAAATAAGCTCTCAAGAGGGATCAACTAACTTGAAAGGCATGACACGATGTAGCTTGAATCTCCTAGTTTTAATGCACATCGTTATTAAGCACTGCATATGCACAGTACCTATTAATTGGGTTAAGATTTATGGTCTGCATGTAGCCCGTGTGATGCCATAGCTTTCCTTTACAAAGCAGGCATTCAGATCTTTTCTAGGTTATGAAAGCCATCGCATTAGCTGTGACATGACGAGTGGGCACTCTCGGCCGTTTGAGTGCATCATGCAGAGCATGCACGAGTGTATTGTATGCTACGCAGCCGCAACATGAAGTTCTACTGACTCTCTGAGTGCGTATCCCTCTCTTTCCAGTTAAGTTTCCAGCACAAGGTGGGCGTACTGTATTGTAAGGCGGGCCAAAGCTCAGAAGAAGAGATGTACAACAACGAGAGCGCTGGACCAGCACTGGAGGAGTTCCTGGATCTTTTGGGCCAGAGAGTTCGCCTCAAAGGCTTCGCCAAGTACAGAGCGCAGCTCGATAACAAAAGTAAGACAAGGCACTCATGTTGGATGGTGTAAAGAAAGGGTATTTACTTTTACATCTGAATTAGGAATTGGTGTAGCAATCAGATGTTCATCAAGAAGCATTTTAAGTGATAAGTGGTGCCGTGATGCAATTGAGGCAAATGGCAGCGTTTGGTTTATTCTTGGGGCAGCTTAATGCTGTTCAACATGGCAGCGGAATTTTCAGAATTTTCAAAGTGAGTTCATTCTCTGGCCAATGATAACATAAAATATGGATATATGGAAATAATCGATGAAGTGAGTCTATTTTACCTCAAGGCCAGAATTCCTGTTTCTAATCTGAATGCAATTCCACTGTTTTTAAGACTGAATTGTTTTTGTGTTTATTCCAGCGGATTCCACAGGCACACATTCTCTCTATACCACCTACAAGGACTACGAGCTAATGTTTCATGTCTCCACCATGCTCCCCTACACACCCAACAACAGACAACAGGTCAGTGGACACCGCAATCGTCAGTTTGGTGTGTCTATATTGCCAACCAATTTGACGCTTTAGTCTCTAAGCAGCTTCATGTTTGGATAGCTTCATTCTTACTCCTGCCAGGCGTTCCCCATTCCCCCCGCTAGATCATTTTGCCACACTAACGACCTATCAGTTGAAACTCTGAGTATTGCCATGGCAACGGTACCTCAGAGTAGGATTTTAATCAATGCATCCCCAGGAGCAAGACCTGCCCGTCTACACTAACAAGAGAAATTGAATGATTGTAGCTGTTGCTGGACAACCATTGGTGCCATAATTCTACAATCGTAAAGGTCCACAAATTGAGTTGTTACACACATTTCTGTGTTGACATGAATAAACAGGAAGAGGCCTTCAGACACTCGTGATTTTGGTTTCTTATTGTATGTTACAAAGTTGAGTCACTCGATTTAAAGCTCTATTTCAGCTTTATCTAAATTGACTTAATACTGAAAATCGGTTCACAATTCAACAAACGAGGTTTAAATTAGGCTTTGGGAACCGACGTTCTTTATCCTAAAGTCCTCGACTCACTGTGCTAATCCTTTTGTGAATAGAGCTCACATTCGAAGTTTAAAAGAAACTAAAGTCATATGAAGATCGTTAAATAAAGACTGCCTATCTTATTACTGAATGTGTCATCCCCCCCCTGTATTAAACTTCCTTGTTATCTTGTCTTTAGTTATTGCGGAAAAGGCACATTGGCAATGATATCGTCACCATCGTGTTCCAGGAACCCGGGGCCCTTCCTTTTACACCAAAGAGCATCCGTTCTCATTTCCAGCATGTATTTGTCATCGTCAAAGTCCACAATCCGTGCACTGATAATGTCTGCTACAGGTAAATGAAACAAGCGTGCCTCTGTGCCTCCTTGAAAGCTATCTTTTAAGTGAGCAGTGTGTGTGACAATGTGTCAAATCAACCAATAATTGCAGCGATTGTACTTTGGAATGAGAGGCAATTAAATATCCTCAAGACAAAGTAGGCGTGTTTGTCCTTTGATTGGCTTTGCCTGAATGTCTTCATGCCACCTTTTCTAATGCCGATTCATTTGTAAGCGTAATGATCATTTTCTACTGGTTGTTCTGTTTCCTGCTGTGACTTCTTAGTAGCTACTTGACAGTAGAAGAATAATAAGTGAGTCTTTTGATCTGCTCAATAATGATACAGTTGTTATCATGACACCTGGAAATTATGAGGAAAAACAAAAATCATTTCTGTGTGATTTTGAAGTTAACATAAAATCTCAGCATTTGTTGACTGAGGAAGATTAAAATGAACTGTACTATGTCTCACAGTGATATCATTTCCACATTTCAAAAATGCTTTTTATGTTAGCAATTGAGTTCAAGCATTCATTTCATGTTTGTTTTCCAGTGTTGCCGTGTCCAGGTCAAAAGATGTGCCGCCATTTGGCCCCCCGATTCCGAAGTCTGTGACCTTCCCAAAGTCTGCAGTTTTTAGGGACTTCCTGCTTGCCAAAGTCATAAATGGAGAAAATGCAGCGCATAAGTCAGAGAAATTCCGAGCCATGGCGACCCGTACGCGGCAGGAGTACCTGAAGGACCTGGCGGAAAACTTTGTTAGCACTGCTACGATTGACTCTGCTGTCAAATTCAGCTTCATTAACCTCGGGGCCAAGAAGAAGGAGAAAGTGAAACCCAGGAAGGATGCACATGTGCTCAGTGTTGGAGCCATCACGTGGAGCGTTCGGGCCCGCGACTTTGGCCAGTCGTTGGATGTGGACTGCTTGCTCGGCATATCCAACGAGTTCATTGTGCTCATTGAGGAGGAATCAAAAAATGTCGTTTTCAACTGCTCTTGTCGCGATGTCATTGGATGGACCTCAGGGATTATGAGTATAAAGATCTTCTACGAGCGCGGGGAGTGTGTCATGTTGTCTGCCCATGACAACTGCGGAGAAGACATCCGGGAGATGGTGCAAAGATTAGAGGTAAATCCATCAAAGCCTCAGCTGCGATCATTCTTTCATTTTAAAGTCCTTGTTCTTGAAAACAAGTTGCAATGATTTGTTATGCTCCAAATGTTTCCATGGAAGCCAAATTATAATTCGATTGACAGTTTCGTGTGTGCGTGCGTGCGTGTGTGTGTGTGTGTGCGTGTGTGTGTGTGTGTGCGTGTGTGTGTGTGTGTGCGTGTGTGTGTGTGTGTGCGTGTGTGTGTGTGTGTGCGTGTGTGTGTGTGTGTGCGTGTGTGTGTGTGTGTGCGTGTGTGTGTGTGTGTGCGTGTGTGTGTGTGTGTGCGTGTGTGTGTGTGTGTGCGTGTGTGTGTGTGTGTGCGTGTGTGTGTGTGTGTGCGTGTGTGTGTGTGTGTGCGTGTGTGTGTGTGTGTGCGTGTGTGTGTGTGTGTGCGTGTGTGTGTGTGTGTGCGTGTGTGTGTGTGTGTGCGTGTGTGTGTGTGTGTGCGTGTGTGTGTGTGTGTGCGTGTGTGTGTGTGTGTGCGTGTGTGTGTGTGTGTGCGTGTGTGTGTGTGTGTGCGTGTGTGTGTGTGTGTGCGTGTGTGTGTGTGTGTGCGTGTGTGTGTGTGTGTGCGTGTGTGTGTGTGTGTGCGTGTGTGTGTGTGTGTGCGTGTGTGTGTGTGTGTGCGTGTGTGTGTGTGTGTGCGTGTGTGTGTGTGTGTGCGTGTGTGTGTGTGTGTGCGTGTGTGTGTGTGTGTGCGTGTGTGTGTGTGTGTGCGTGTGTGTGTGTGTGTGCGTGTGTGTGTGTGTGTGCGTGTGTGTGTGTGTGTGCGTGTGTGTGTGTGTGTGCGTGTGTGTGTGTGTGTGCAGAACACAAGTCACAGAGTGATTTGGATCACATTCAAATTTTGTGTGTTTGACGACCTTACGATTGGAACCTGGTTGCTTTGTTGAAACATGGCACACAGTTCATAAATAATTGGATAATTGGAATGTGCCTGCTGTTCTACATTATGGTCATCTGTGAGCATGCAAATCTAGGTTTTAAAGAATAAATTCATTAAAAAAAAAAAATCATCAAATGATGCTATCTGAATTGAAATATGGGAAAAAGGTCTGCACTGATGTTGCCGCACTTTGAGCCAACTGTAGCTTTACTCTATCCACTCTATAAAAGATTTTTATTCTGGATTTACAAAGATGGAACGCAGTTTATCGCACAACTGTTGTTTGGTATTGGATTCCAAATTGCTAATACTCATTCGGGTTAGTTGCATTGGCAAGCTCACAGTCATTAAAGCCCTTGTTGGCATTTACGAAGATGCTGCTACCACTACATCCATTCATTTTCTGTAGTGCTAGTCCTCATCTGGGTTAGAAGTGCGCTGGAGCATGTCCCATCTGATTTTGGATGAGAGGCACGGTACACCCTGGACCACTCTCCACCCATTCGCAAGGCGTCTAGACAACCGATTCTTCACATTCACACCTATGGATGGTTCAGTTTTTAATTAGCCAAACATGCGTGTTTTTGGAATAAATTCATGTGGGAAGAAGCCAGAGTATCTGGAACAAGTACAAAATGATAATGCAATCCCCACCAACATAGGGTGGCGCTGAGATTTGAACCCCAAACCTCAGCACTGAGAGAGCAGACGTGCTAACAATGCGTCCACTGTGCTACTGCTATTCGCACTCGTTTGACGTTACAGTATTTAAATTTTGTGTGCTGATTTAAGAGTCATGAATGGCACAGTGCAGTCTGAAGAAGTAGCCCTCTGGTACTTGTCATTAGCGTTTCACAACAGCAGGAGGGCAAATCACACAATGTTACCTTTTGTAGGAGAATCAAATATCTCAAACTAAGAGTCTTTTTGTACCATTCTATGTATTTCTATGGTAACGCAATTCATTCTGCCAAAATAACTCTGCCACTGTAGGTTCACCGCAATCCCTTTTCCTACGTCTCATATGTTTCTACTCCGACTCGAACATCCTTTTCTTCATTTTATGAGTAATACTTTAGTGTCACCCCATTCCTCCATTTTTAAAAATGTGTTTAGCCTCAAAATGAGCAGCCCAAAGAGGATTTAAACCCTCCGAGTTATTTTGGGCTCAAAGTCATCACTCACATCCAGCTTGGTGCCAATTATTTGGGTCACATATTTAGATGTGTTGATCTCACCTCAGTGAAATCATTCGGGGAACAAATACATTATTAAATGGAATTGACAATCAATATTTATGAGATTTGGGGCTATTTTTTAATTGATAAATTTATGAGGGATGCATCTTTAACAGGGCACAACCCAGTTTGGGGAGAGGAAATACGGTCACAGCTATTGGATCTGAAAGGCTAACAGTAGACAGCTGTGACTTGTTACTCCTTTTCAGAGTTAAACATTTAGTCTGCTCATCTCCATTCTGTTTATGTTCATTGTTGTGTCATTTGGGGTTTAGAAAGTACAGCATGCTTTAGTTCTGGCCACAGTATTGATTCCTTAAGTCCAGTATGTTGTAGGAACTGAACACCAGAAGATCTTTTTTTAATTCCCTAAATTCAAACCTGAAATTTATATACAGTCACACAATGATTTGCAAATGTTTTTCAATTGACAGTCAGTTGAATATATCAGGCACAAACGTGTGAGCAGAGCTGTGGGGTTCGATCCGCCCTAAAAACATGCACGGCAGGGTAACGGAACACTCAATTGTCCCGAGGTGTGAGTGTGAGCACGCATAGCTGTTCGTCCATGTGTGCCCTGCGACGGGCTGGCAATCGGTTCGGGGTATACCCCGCCTGCTGCCCGAAGATAGCTGAAATAGGCTCCAGTACACCCCGCGACCCTTGTGAGATAAGCGGATCCGAAAATGGATGTATGGACAAATGCTGGGGGAAAACATCTGGAAGTTAAGATGTTTTCCTTTTTTTTTTCAAGAGAAATTCTTGACCCTAATAGTAGAACAATAGCACAGTTCCCCAGAGATTAGAAATGAGAATGGAGAAGTAAGGGGTAAAAATATGCAGCCTAAGGACACATATTTTGCAGAATGTTAAGGCCCCAAATGATTGTAAGATTCTGCAAAGTAGTCTCCTTAGTGAGATACATTCATCACATGAAAGAACAGAGAAGGCCAGATTGACATCTCCTCCTCATTGGCCATGCTAATCTCGCTCACATTCGGCGTGCTCTTATCCGTGGGATTTGTGACGGATATTTCCCAAAGATGAAAAGTATGACGAGCAAGCAAGTGCAATCTGTTCTTGCCTTATAAAGTGTACATCAGTAAGGTGACCCTGCCCAATTTAATCCAAAAGGTGTCCATCGTTTTGTCCTGGAAATTGATCCAATTCGGTTTTCATGGGAAGAGTTTCCAGACAGTCGAGCCAGTGATGCATTGTGAAGCAAGTAGATTGGCCACGACAAATCCGTGCAGCCTGTGTGAGAACACTAAAAGCTTTGTGATTGTGATAACATCCTGCTCTCCAGGGTGTCGTGCGCTTCGGGGCCTCGTATTTGGATTTTATTGAACAAATCATCACAGTACTGCGTGTGGTCCGTTTCTTTTGACTTTCCTGTGTGAGCATGGATAAAAAATTATATTACTTGAATTTGAACGATGAAAGCATTCTTTTTTTTAATATATGATTGTACATATTGTGGCGCTAAATCTGCACGGATTTGGATTGTAGAGGTTATCACATTTTAATCTGCTCTACTGGATTATAATGTTTTGTTTTGTTTTTGTCACAATGCTTTATGCATTATGTATTTCCCTTGAGATTATTTTTGGTTCAATCTCTGGTCGCATGCCACATCACAATGAAACTAATTGGCTGACATCAGTGACAAGTCTCTGCTAAATTCAAGTGACTAATGACTGCTAAACAATGATTAGCCTTTGTTTCGTTTTCACCCATTGAAGCATCATAAAGAATTGTTTTTCTAGCAGGCAAAGTTTTGACCAACATTTTAACATTCTTAACTAGATTTAAGAATAAAATGGAAGTTAAGAAACTTTAACAGGAAAAGGTATAAACAATAAATCACGTCCTCCAACCAATGACGAACTTTGTTACGGAGGATTACTGGTTCGGAGGTCAGTTAAGTCACATAACAAATATAACTCATCTATGTACATTGAAATTTTCCTTATTTTATTATTGTTTTTTTTTCTCACTTTTCCGTATTTTAGAAGCAAAGACAACAAAAATCTATGCTCAGTGTGGTGGAAATAATTTCCGGTTCCATGGTTTTGTCGGCATACTTTTTCTTTGCCAACAAACTTTAATTTTCCGTCGTTATTAAACTTGTCAATCATCCGGCATCAGTTTAATACATGCCCCTGTGCAGGTAGTCTTGCAATTGCCGGTACCTGGCAACAGCATGCAGTATTCCTGCAAAAGTGACACTACTTCTTCACTCGGAGGTACAATTTGAAATGCAGAAAGTCTATTTAAAAAAGTCTTACCTGTACGTCATTGAGAGAAGGACATGGGCACGTTCGTTTCATGGGCCGACTAAAAAAAGAGCTGTTTGGGAAACTATTAGACAGGTTCAGTGAATTTCTAACAAAGAGCAGTATGTTTTCCATTGATGGGCTGAAAAACTTTCCACATATTCTTCTCACACATTTTTCTCTAGACCCTCAGAATTTTAGAGCAAAATATTTTCCTTTTTTTCCCCCCCATGATGGTTTTTGCAGAATGACAACTTAGTCTGCGAATCTTTTTGTTTTCCCCTTAGTTTTCCGTTCTGTAAAAACCTTGTTTGTATTGATTTAAGCACTCGACTATGATTATAACTATTAGCCAATGAGAAAATAAAATGATGAACAAACTCGTGAATCCACATCATACCAAACGTATTCTGTGTTTCACTTTGAGGACACAGTTGATCTGTAAGAGTCCACGATGGTTGTTCGGGCTCCACTCGCACAGCAGGGTAGGATTTCTGCTAGTGTGAGAATCTAGTGAAGTGTTGACAGGCCAAAGTCTGAGTTAATGTGTCCCTGAAGCCAGCTGCCACTCTGAGGTATATTGATGCAGTCAACCACAACTGAGCCGGGACTAATCTGGCGAGTGATTAAAGCTCATTGAGTGCAGTGTGATTTCTTCTCCAGTGCTTCTACAGAAAACACTTTTGGGAAAGCATCCAGGAACACGGTGCATTCATGCTGGAGTGAGACCTACGAATAGCTTGGTCAAATTATGTTGTCAAGCTAAAAATAGATTGCGTGCTTTTATCCGTGGCCTCTTTTTTTTTTTTTTTTTTTTTTTGCGTTTACTTCGATAATGATGCTGAACTGGAATGAGTTGAGTGAGCTTTGTTGTAAGGCAATCTCGCGTTAACACCTGGAATTTGTTTGCGTTATTGATAGCATGCAATTATGAAATCAATCCAAATCAATGGAATGTAAGCCACCATTTTCTCTAAATGGAGTCACTCCAATCAGATAATTGCTCTCATATTCAGATGCATAAAAAAAAAAAAAAAAAAAACACGTAATGTATTCCAGTGATTATATTGCACATAATTATCCGACTGACTTTTCTTCCTGTTTAAGATCACGACCAGAGGCTGTGAGACTATAGAGATGACTTTGCGGCGCAACGGCCTGGGCCAGCTCGGTTTCCACGTCAACTTTGAGGGAATCGTGGCTGATGTCGAGCCCTTTGGCTTCGCTTGGAAGGCAGGCTTGAGACAGGGAAGCCGACTGGTGGAGATCTGCAAGGTAGCTGTCGCCACTCTCACCCACGAGCAGATGATCGATCTGCTGCGTACCTCCGTGGCTGTCAAAGTGGTTATTATCCAACCATATGAAGATGGGACCCCTCGAAGGTAAGAAATCCAACGTTATCGTGTGTTCATTGTTACTTAGTGCTGTTTTGTTTTTGTTTTTTAACTTGCCGTGCACGGAGGACATTGTCATGTTTGTCTATTAGTTTCACATTTCCTCTCATATTTGAGGTAATTAGTGGAGAGAAATGCTGACTTGCTTGTCGCTTGATGTTGACAGCTGCTTCCCCATGGAGTCTCTTTGTTTGTTGCTGTACCTGTGCCACACTCGCAAGCAGCGTTTCACGCTAATAATAATGGGAAGAACATTTTGATTAATGGCTCAAGTCTTCCATGCTTCACTTTTGCAAATAGCTTTTTATTTCTGTCCTCCCCCATTCTTCTCTTCAGCAATTACAGTGGGAGGGGCTGGCTTTTGGGGAACATGCACCCATGACGAGATGACATTTCCCCTCAAATAAAAAGAGAGGAACATATTTCAACATGATGTGATGAGAATAAATGGACTGTGTGAGAATGCCTATTCTCTGCGAGAGACAGTCAGCACCATGAGATCACCGCGACGCCAAATCTGTCTCAATTTCAAGTCAAGAAAAAAATAAAGTTTCTCCCTTTGACCCAACCCAAGCGTAGAACCGTACAAACAGTAAGAAACATTTTGAATTGTGACCCTTCTTCTCCCTCTTTTGACATTCAGATTATCATGTAGGTTTCGTAGATCTCTCGGGAAACCTCATATTCATAGTCTTCCGTAAACTTTGCTTCCATTTGCTCACAAATAAGCAAACCAAAATTGTCTCGCGGTTTGCAGCTATTCCTAGAAATAAAGAATGTGAGTGTGAGGAAAAAATACTGTGCAGGAGATCAACACAGAATATACCTTACGATATAGAGAAAATATGAGGAGTTTTGATGAAAAGTAACATGACATTTATATTGGCTTGGCTTGATCGCTGATTTGAACTTCAGTCTTCTCATCTGGCGACAGAGGGACGGCATATTTGTTCTCCCAGATGGCAGCCTAATATTCTTCCTCTTTGAACCCAACACAGCAGCTCCTTTGACTGAACCGCTGTCTAATCCTCTTTCCAAAATCAGTGATCATAAACGATGATACGGTCGTAATTGCATTTCAGGGAAACTGAAAGTGTACAAAACAATCATCCTACAAAAACTGGTCCAGCCTCTGAAAACGGTGGTTATAGCATAGGACACTGAAACTCTTGGCTTGATCATTGTGCCAGTTTCAGCTAGCCGGCTCGGTTTGGATGATGGTCAGCAGAATTTCAGACATGATTTTCTGTCCAGCAGATAGCTCAAGCTGTGCATTGGGCCCTCGTATAAATGCCTACACGGTGTCATGATACTAAACATGTTGAAATGTATTTGACGCGGATGTGGTATTAGCAAACAGATGTATTTGACAGATTAGTGGGTATTACCATAAAACAACATACTGGTCTGTGCTTTGGAGCTTTACTGGGGTATCCCCCTCCACGACCTTTGCCAAAGACACAATTTATTGCTGTCTCATGAGAACCAAAAGCAGCGATCTCAAGGTCTTGTGAATATTTTCCCATGGCTTGATCAAATCAAGAGGAGAGTGGTTGGGTGAAGAATCGTGAGGAGTCCCAACTCTCCTTCTTTTTTTTTTTTAAGTTGCTTAAGTGTTGCAATCAACAATGAGTGCTCTGCTTTTTCTGCAATGATCTCAAAAGAAAGGAATTCAGTTGGGGCTTGTAGGGCCCACTCAGTCCCCCGTGGCCTGAATGATGGGGGCGACCTGAACAATGGACTTAGTCTCATGCCCTCTCGACAATATAACCTGCTTCATATGCCCTCTATGACACCGTTTCCTTTACCAAATGCCATTTGGAAGGAGAGAGTTTATATAGCCTCTTCATTTGGGATTCTTGTCCTATCAAGGTTGATCTTGTTATGTCAGTGTTTTGGAGCTGTTTATTCTTAAAACTGTTCAAACTCCGTCTAAATCCAAAGCAGATATGCCTCTGACCTGATTTGTACATAGGACGTTGTTTCCGTACACTGGGCGCAAGATGTGGTTTGAGTCCAGGGCAGCAGCGCAAGAGCCTCGTCCGTCATTGCGCTGTAAAATGTTGAATCCATTAGGAATCCATTTGATTCGATCTATTATTGTATCGGTTCCTGTGATCTCCGTATTTGATGTTTATCTCAAATTTAAAGAGGGCTCAACCTGCTCCAGAGCTCTGCTAACAAGTATTACTTGCGATATTTAATTGGCCACTCATGACCTTTACTTTTGAAGTGCCATCAGACTGATTTTCATCTGGACTCAAGTTAAGCCGGATTTCTCACTTGCCGTGATGACACTCTGTGAAAGGAAACGCTGCTAAACAAAAACATTCACAACCTGCTGCTTAATCCCTCCACATTCTACATTGGAGCCCTTCTTTCCTTTTTGATCACTTGGCAAAGAAATCATTGAGAGGCTTTTTTTTTTTTTTTGGCAAACGTATTCACTTTGGAGCACACCTTCCTAATGAACCTCAGGACAATGATGCTCTAAAAAGGCCTGGTTTGAGGTCATAACCTCTCTGGCTCTTTGCTGTGACATGGACTGTGGGAATGGATTAGCATGTCTTTCAATCCCTGGCCATGTCATTGAAGTGACGGCTGTCTGACTGAGGTCCAAGGTCCTGTTGTCACACTCATTTATTCTATTTTGTTAAGCGCCAATGGCTGATTGCCCCCCCCCCAACTGGTCAAGTAAGCACTAATGTTTTGGCAACGTCACTTAAAATACTTGAAACTGTCACATTATTTCCTCCAAAGAAAGACATGACAACATGGGGGCAAATTGTATTTGTTATATTTTTCTATCAGCTCACGTTGGCCAGTGTGGTTAAAGTTAGGCCTATATAGCCTTTAAGTAAAAGTTTTGGAGATCGAGAGGAAGCAGACCATGTCATTTGTGTCTACCAGTCTATTTTTCCTACACCATGCTAAAGCTCAGATTTAGTGCTGGTTTCCTGCCGTTGATTTATACACAGAGAGACAGGCCGTTCCCCCGATATATTTCAAAGGCAAGAATCACTGGTCCAGTCTGATGGTTGTTTTCAACTGTCAGCCTGGCAGGCACTGAGCTGTAACATTAGATCATACCTTGTCACTTCTTGATCATTCTTGTGCAAATAGCACGGCCAGAAACAAAAATGGAGACCTTTTGCTGTTGACAAGCTGTTAACCACGTTTAGCCTTTGAGGGAGTAATTGTGGGTGGCAACCTGGCATTATCATGTACACATACTTCATCAATGTAATGAGTGGGTTAGCAGTCCTGGAGAAAGAAGTGTAGCAATGGTGAGGATTTAACACCTTTCCTCATTCCCGCCACTTCCTCCATCCCCGTTCCCGCCCCTCAACTCCACCCACCACTATTAAAAAAAGTTGAGCGATAAGAGATTCAGTAATACAACACAGAAGCAAATGTTTCATCCATTCATTCCGTTCTAAACCACTTGCCCAGAGCTCCAGAAATCAAAACACAAAAGTGGCAAGGTCCATAATACGGGGTGACCGGCATTAGAGCATTAAGTCTGGGCGAGTAATCTGAACCACTACACTACCACCACACCACCCCCCTCTCCAGTTAATGGTATAACAGAATAGTAAAATGCTGCTGTGTCACCCATTATTTACAGTTCCATACGTGAACCTTATGATGCATGCTTCATACCACACATGAAGCCAATCAATTATTCAAAGCATAAGATATGGAGGATGTTATTCCAACCACTTGCAGTACTTCAAGATAATGGGATGTTGATATTGGCCATATGGGTGTGAGCTGGGTGACAGTGTGGAGATGGAAGAAGTGGAGCATGATTTTAAGGCTGGCTCATGTGACACCCATAGCCCCGCTCGGATGCCCAGTTGTAAACAGCCAGCCAGCCATGGCCCAGTTTGATGAAAGCGTCTTACTTACATGGATTACTTTTCCCCTTCACAATCAGTCAATGAGCCCTCCTCAAGCCCCTCTGTTTGTGCTTTTGTGACCGCAGCTATGTATACATAGATTTCAAACCTCAGTGCATTCTGGAAAATAGACTTTAGTGGGGTAGGCAAGTGCAATCATGAGGGTCATGCTTGAGATGCTTGTGGAGAGCTTGCAAAACATCCAGAATGGTTAACCCTGACCCGTCACCCTGTAATCCCTCTCCCCACAAATATACGCGTAGCTCACACTCCACCATAATGTTGCATGAACCAGCATCCTAGGTCTGTCTATTTCAGAGACTTTCTCTGCTAATCACAATAATGGCATCTTGATGGTCATAGAAAAGGCCCCTTGGATTGTCAGCTTTAATGTTATAGTCAAAGCGTTGGTGTATGTATGATCCAATCACGTGTTAAAAAAAAAAACAGTAAACAACTCACCCTTTTTTTTTGTTTGGTAGTATTTGTTATGCATTCTGATAACACATGGTATAATAATCCATGCCATTATTGTAGCTATGTAATTGTATTTATTAGTAACGGTATTCCATCAGTTAAATTAACCGTATTATTCCAATTACCAAATGCAGATAATATTTAGTAGAAATATAATGATTTATTTTTTATAGGGAAATATTTTTCATGCACAGCAAATTACCTCTGACTTAATTGTAGATTTTTCTCGTATTAACTATGCACCAATTTACATGTTAATAAGGCTTTGATATTCCATATTATTTGTAATCAAGTCTTGAGCTCAAGCCTCAACTCCACAGAACCTTTTAGCATCTTTTAGCATAATGTTTACATTATGTTCCAATTGACTGCTCTCTCTCATCCCGTTTTGCAGGGCGGCTTTATTAAACTGAAAAAAAAAAACAACAAACAGTAAGCCACAGTTTGTAAACTATTAGCACTTAGCTAATTGGTCATCAGAAGTATAAATGGTGGGTTCACTTCAAGTGCTTTTTCAAAGACCTCTGATTAGATGGATGATGCAAATGTTAAAATGTGAATTGTTAACAGCTTTTACCCGAAGCAATTATTAGCTACTAGTTTCATTAACAATTCATGCTGTTGCTTCCATATTCCACAGACTCGTGGCTTACCACGAACTGTCTTTATTGAACTTCTTCTCAGGGGCTGCTCTGAGCTGTATCGTATTCCCATGGTGGAGTACAAAGTCGACAGTGAGGGTACACCCTGCGAGTACAAGACACCCTTCAGAAGGAACACCACCTGGCATCGGGTGCCCGCGGCGGCTGGAGCTCCTCTGTCCAGAGGGTCACCCACTCAGGGTCCTGACCGCCTCCAGTGTCAGCAGATCCTACAGCAGCATCAGGCCGCTATCCCACGAAGCACATCCTTTGATAGGAAGTTACCAGATGGATCCAGGTACTCTCATTGTCATTTTTTTTTAAAGTTGATTGTGTATAAAGCATCACATACATCAGAACTATATTTCTCTTCCAGGGCAAGAATAATTCCTTATATATAGGTGGAGGGTATTTTGTAATCATATAGAAAATGGATGGATGGTAAAATGAACCTCATTAAGTGGTGTTTTTGTGTTGGGCTATCACATGAATATGAATGGAACAGTTTAGTTTCCACGATTTCACCGCATCTCTTTTGAATTGCAGCTACCGGTCGAGTTTTTCAGACAGCATCTCCATCCAGCCATGTAAAGCAGTGATTTGTTCATCCTAATGAAAGCCCCACAGTCATGATAACCTTTTCACAGTGTCAAAATGACCCCCTATGGTTCTGCCTGTTCTGACTGTACTGGGATAACAGCCACCTCCTCTGCCTAATCACGGGCTCTGTCAGTGGGAGCACTCTATTTTCCATTCTTTCTTTTACTCCGTGTACGACTCCCTTGCACCTCTGCGCCCCACCGAAGAGGAGGTGACGGCGACGCTGGCACGGCACAGCTCATCTCAGCCAATTACTGCAGAAACAAAGAGAGAATTCCACTCTCGACCATCAAATGACGCAGCCCAAGGGGGAGTGAGAGTAGAGGGGAGATATGAGGGACAGGAAAAAAACATAAGACAGACGTGAATCAAAATTGAATTTCATTGATAATACATACTTTTTAAAAATACGATCTTTTTAAAATGTGTGCCGTATTTGAATGCAGCATGGTTTGGGAATACATATGCTTCATTAGTAATCATAGGGTTAAATTAATACAGTAACTAACCGGGGCATCATGGTGTGCTCGTGGTCAGCATGTTATTGGATATCTTACTTATGCACTCAGATTTGAGCCCTTTGTTGTTCTGCAGAATGATGCAGGATTTGGAGAATCCTCAGGTTACTTCTTGTAACAAGGGAGATCAGCATTACCGCAGCTCCCCCAGTAACCAGTCCTCCTCCAGCGATCCAGGACCCTGTGGCAGCAGCTCCTGGTCCCAACAGCCTGGATATGATGGGTATGTGACCACGCAACTGCTACTGCTTTTTGCACCCCATAGTTTAATCCTAGAGTTATTTGGAGTTTTGTGATAATCAAAGCTGATTTTCTTTTTATCGCTGCATTAATAATAGAACATATAATTTTACAAAATGGTGATGGTGGAGTGTTATTATTTTTATTATTATTAATATTATTATTATTATTATTATTATTATTATTAGGAGGGAAGAGTCTAGTATAACCACTAACTAGCAAAACAGTCTCATCCTGTCTTTTAGCAACCACAGTTGTCAAGATAGTGCCGGTAATTCCTTTGTTGGCTAAAGTTAATAAAACAGAGTGGACTTGTCGTCAGTTAAGGAGGAGCATTAAATTAGCCTGAAAACTGTTCATTCACACAGAATGTCTACCTGGAAGATCATTGTCATTGTTCTGAAATAAGTGTTTCTTTTTTTCTTTGTAATTTCAGACCCTTTTTTGCTTTTGTTCTCAGAACACTGAAATGAAATGATAAAACCATTATAAAAAATGCTGACGCTAATTTGAGTCAGATCCAGGCCTGCTGAATTTGGAAAGGGTAATTAAAATATCTGGTTTTGAAATAAATGTAATAAAAGAAATGAATTATACCTCCAGTCAAATCCAAGGAGACCAGTAGGTTGACATTTTGTTGACGTTACTTCGATGTCATTTGTTTTATCGTAGTGTGTTGAAAAATGTCACATCATGCTCATTATGCAGGCCAAGCAGTCGACCTAATACTGGCATATGAGCAGACCGCTTTTCTAAGAGGTTACAGACCATGACAAGAGGCCTTGCACCACACTGCTGCCTTTCTATCAGCAGCCTCAAACGTGCACTGAATTTGCAAGGACCCGAAGAGGTGTGATCGGTCGGAGCTGACACCGTGCAGAACAGAACAAGACACATTGACTAGTCCATTGATCTTCAGCGTAGGTCGCTGGAAAAAAAAAAAATCACAAAGCAGCATGACCGCAGTGCAGTAGAGGGAACCCCACTTTGCTCTGATAGCTTTAATTATACGCCCTGTTGGAAAAATGGGTTCCTCTTTTTGTCAAGAGCATGATAGTTCCTGTAATGCTGAGTCATCTGAAAGGTCTTTTGTTTGCTTCTGAGCTCAAGTGTTTTGGCTCTTAGTGATTGCACGCTAATTGCATTACCTCCGCCGAATCTCTTGAAGCCTTACTCCTTGTGGAATACAATGCTCACACTGCCTCCTTCCTCATGTTTTTCTCTGCAGATGTCCCTCTCCTATCCTTCATGAGCATGCAGGAGACGTCCAGGGGGGCGATGGAGACATCCACAGGGAGAGAGAGCCCACTCTGGAGAGGACCAGGTCGGCAGGTGAGTGCTCGAATCAACCATTAAAGCAAGTAGTGCAGATTGGATGATTTTGTCTACTTTTGATTTATGCTCATCTGCAGAGGCCAAGTGGCACATACCCGCCACAAAAATCCTGAACCCTTTGAAGCAGCGAGAAGGAAGCAAAGACTCCCCAAACAAGCTCTCCAGGGTAAAAAGTTCAGATGTCTCTTTTGATTTGACATGTAATGGACATATTTCGAGACTCAATTACTTCTGACCAGTGTTTTGGGTGAAACTTTTTGGATGTGACAATGTACAAGCCACCCTTTCACCTCTGAATAGACTCATAATAAAGGTCAGCATTACTGTCTTTATTTGATGCAACCAGGGACTTCAATTTGTTGTTCATGTTGTCCCTGCTAGCTTCCCTTTACATTTATCTATTTCCACTCATTAGCTCATTTGGTTATGTCCTATCTCTTCGCTTCCTCTTTTATTAGACACATTTCCCCGGAAGCTTGAATCTATTCAGTACAATAGCCCTTCTCTCAGCTGGGTATATGCATTCACAACAACCAAGGCTTTCAAACATCAGCTGGTGTTACGTCACCATTCACTTGGGACTGTACAGGATTTGCCCCAATGTGCTCGCCATTGCTTTTTAAAAGAAGACTACTGTAGGTCTTTTTGATGTAATATGGTGGGATTTTAATTTGCCCCACTACTTTGCAGTCTCTAAGAAGAAAATTGAACAAAACATGATGGCTCATTTTCTCATTTTAGTTTTAAAAAAATATATATATCAAGAATTATATTTAGCCTGTTGTACTAGTCAACTAAATAAATGATATGGCTGTTGATTTAAGTTGAAGTCACAGTACTTCAAACTAAGTTATATGCTACCCCAACTAGGGCCACTTAGGGTGAACAGGGCTGACATTTTCTTCCGCAGAACTAGGACAAAGAAAGTAAGAAAGAGTCAAATACTCCCGTTTGGTGGCTGTAATACACATTAGAACACCCGGAAGAAATGTTTGATCTTGTCTGATGCACTGTATATCTGTGATTCTCTTGCTGTCCTAGATGGGCGATAAGAACTCGAGCCACTCGAGTAGCAATACTCTGTCAAGCAACGCGTCCAGCAACAGCGATGATAAGCACTTTGGCTCAGGAGACTTGATGGACCCGGAGATGTTGGGTCTCACTTACATCAAAGGGGCCTCCACGGACAGCGGCATCGATACCAATCCCTGCATGGTCCCTGGGGCTCGGGTGTTGATGCAGAGCAGGGTGGGGGAGCTGGGACACCCATGGGTGTCAGAGCACCATGAGGACGGGGCATCTGAAGAGGACCATGGCAAACCATACCTGCCACAGGGTTACGCTTCTGCCTTAATGGCTAGTAATGTGACAGAGGGAAGCATCGGAGACCTGAGCGAGATCTCTTCACACTCGAGGTATCGCACATCTCCTAAACTACATGATTATTATATTTAATTGCACTGGTTTTTGGTGTGGTAACACATGTTGTTTGATTAGTTTCATATGGTGGACAACTTAAAGCAAGTGGAACATCATGAAGTAGTGGACTTAGCATCTCACAATGTTTAAGTGACTACTGCAGTGATTAAATTTTTGTATGGGAGGGATGCCTCTTCGATGGACATTTTAAGAGAGCATTTAACTTGTTCCCATATACATATATCAATTACTCGCCAGATGGCTGTCGGCTTCACACTCGCTTGCAAAAGTTTTACAGAACTGCGGAGAGTACTCCCGCCACACTTTACAATGAGCTGAATGTGTTGTCATTCAAATTGATGCATTCAACTCATTGGAATTCTCGCAAAAATGAGGCTGTCAACATTAAGACAACAGCAAAAGCAAAGAATTCTCTCAGTAGGCAATGCAAATCACAAACAATGAATGAGAAAAAAGATGCCTCCATACTGGTCACGAGAGTTCCGTGGAATGGTTTGATGAACCTGAATGACAATCACATGCAAGTCATCCTTCACAGTAACCAGATCTAAAAAGCAACTGACCAGCTATGTGGAACAAAATACCGTCCAAATTCCAAATGGTGAACAATGGTTTCAATGATGGTGTGTTAACTTACAGACTGTGAATAATGCGTTGGAAGTCCAACATGATCTTTCTAATGCAGGGCCGACACTATAAAATGGCACCATGTTGTCATTACACATGAAATAACACCTCGGTCAAATAGGAGTAGAAATAAGTTGAAATGCATGGTTGGAGACAACCACAATATTTCCCGCCGGAAGTTGCTCTGATTTCATATAAAGTGAAGGAACGCACTATCAAGCTGTAGGAACGGTTTTTGCCATGAGATGAGAACTCCAGTGCTGTTATGAACATACTAGATCTGCCCCTGTTCCAACCAAAACCAAGATCTGTGGCCTAACAAACGCATTGTTATATAATAATCCTAATGTAATTTGGATGATGCAACATCTTATCTACTTGGATAAATTTGTCAGAATTGTTGAGCAACCCATGAAACGTATCATGTTTGTGGTGTTTTGTGCTTGGCCAGTTTGAGGTCATCCTACAACACAGCCAAGTATATTTAACACTTTAAAATATTGATTTGAGGAAGCCCAGGAACAAAATGGGATAAACGACTCAAACTTTCTTGATGTTATTGTTTTCTCTGGACCGTGACTTGAGTCACTTGTGGTTTATTTCGAGTGTGTCAAGTTATTGATCTGACCACTGAGATAAAACATACAAACTGTTTCCCCGTTACATCGTTTGCCATACAATACCCGTGCTACATTTGTAACCAAGACACCCCTTCCCTCCATTCAGTTCAACAAACACACAGACATGAGGATGTTTTCTTTTCTGGCTCTATAGCTAGTCTTTTTTTCCCCATCCTTGCGCTCTACTCATGACCCTCAGTCTGACTCATCCAGCTGTGTTGAGGATTGTTGGTGGAGCGGTTGTCATTCCCGAGCAATGTAGGGGAGTGTTTCCACACATTCCTGTCCAAATGCCCCTCACCAGACTGCTACCCATCTGGGAAAGAGGAGGGGTGTGAAGAAGACTAGTCTAGCACTCAGTGGTTACAGTCGCTACGAAATAGAACCGAGGTCTCATGTGTTTATGGCGTCCATTACATGGTTATGTTATCATGACATGCTCAAATTAGTAGCGTGTGGGAACTATCCCAACTCTTCGATCTGGAATAACATTCAGCATAAGGAACTAGTTCGTACCATCACAGCACCATTGACCACCCCGATGCTTTCCATCTTTTTCATGTAATTGTTTTTGACCATTCGAACCAACAGTGCAGCAGCAGGGGTGTTGCCCAGATGGTCATGAATATGCAAATGGAGACTACTTTCAGCTAATGCCAACTTTAAGTTTTAAGTTAACCAGAAAACACACATTTAGATGAAATATCTCAATTTTAACCAGAGTCCAATTTTCTTATTTCCAATAAACATTTTTTGTACATTGTATCTTATCATTAGAGGACAAACTGCTCATTGTTAATGAAATCGTAATCTTTCACACTGTCAGTATATTAATTAACAGGAGACCATCGGTGTCACTTTACAGCATGCCAGACTTATAAATTGAAGCTATGTCTGGAAATGCTTGTACTTTTATTTGACTTGAATCATTATTATTTTTCCTGACAAATGTATCTTGCCCACTATTAGTCTTCACTGACACAAAAGTGTTTGTCACTGCTCTGCAGTACAACACAGCAATTAAACAATCACATTAGAAAATTTCACATGAAAGTAAGTAACAGATACAACTTTGATGAGTCTATTATACAAACTACTGATTTCAACACCACATGTAACTCATGTTGAGAGTACAGTATGCGCTAGAGGTGGATACACAATGCGGCAAGACAATAAGAACACAAGCATTTGTATTATTCTCATATACATTCTTCCAGCTGATATCCCCTCAAGTGGAAGTGTCATTTTCTCATCTCATGTTTGTTTATGCCTTGATCATTTTTTGTCTGCTTTGTCTGCATGGTCAACTTTTGAGTTGCATTATTTGTTTTCTTTTGTTTTGCTTTATGGCTCAGTGGCTCACATCACTCTGGCAGTCCGTTGGCGCGCGGTGCCAGATATTGTATGTCCGCCGACTCCACCAAGGTGTACACCATCCCTCAGACCAGCAGCTCAGGTGCAGAGCCCGAGCCGCAGCCTGGGCCAGGCCCCGTTTATGGCCTGGATCCCAGCTCAGAAGCTTGTGAACAGACATGTTCACAGCCAGATGGCAATCTCCCAGTGAAGGCAACTGATAATGATGGTGATGACGATGCTCACAGCAAAGAGGAACCTCCCAACATTTCAGAGTGTGGGTGAGTGTTTGTGAACAAGATGGAGAAAGAAATGTGATTTTGCATGAGAATCATTGGTTACAGTTGACTTTTACCACTAATGACTACTACATCTGAGACCCATTCCAATACAAGCACCCTCGCTGTCTAGTGGACTCCCAGTGTGCATAAAATCAGCCTGATTGAGGCAGACAGCTACGGAATAAATACGCTCAATGAAGCCGCGGACATAATACACTTGGCACATGTCACTTGTGGTTATTGATCGTTTCCGAGAAGGCGGATCCCTATGGACCGCCAGTCTGAGCATGTAGCAGATCTCTTGTGGATGCAAAGGAGATATCCACACACTGCTATGGGATGGCAAGTACTGAATAGTCATGGGGAAAGCAAAAGGGAGATCGATGCATGCCATCACTCGGCCCGGTTGAAACTTATTCCCTGAAAAGGCTCTCTGATGATCAAATGAACTTGGAGCTTCTTTCAAAAAGAATAAGGAATTACCTTGCTCCAGATTTTAAATAATTTCATTTGCTCTACAAAATTTGTTTTTTAAGAGCTATGTGATTGATCACATGTGCTGAAGTCATCTTCTGCAGGCTTATGAAAAAGGTCCCTAATTCAGTTATCCTCCCCATTGGGTTGTTTATTATTTATTTTACCTCACACAAGCTTGTCTTATTGATGAATGGTGTAATATTTTTTCGGATATTGTTCGAACATAATGAAGTTTCTCTTGACCTGCTCCAACACTAGTCCGTATTTGTAATGGTGCTCCTAACGCCACTTTTTTTTTTCTCTTCCACTAACTCCTTCTTGTTCCAGAGGAGCTGAGAGCTTGTTAGCACTCCTCCTTGAAATGCTGTCTGAGCGTGCAAGGTACACAATCAGTGGAAATCAACCCTCTGGCTCAAGCTCTGAACCATTGTGACCCTCCCCCATATATACAGACACGCACACACACACTGCACCCTCCCTTTTCCCAGACTGCCACATCACTCCCTCAAGACGATTGCTTTCTATAAGTGGAGGTTAATGACTTGTGCATCAGTGGCGGTGACATTTCTACTGCAGCATAATGTTACAGTGCACTACTGCTTACCCAAATGTCCTTGCATCAACCCCCCCAGCCACGACACTGTGAGGTTCCAACTGGATAATGACAATAACGTTATACAAGCTCGTTGAGTGTTTGGCAGGTTAACATACTGTAAACATTACACTCTATTGTTATTATTTTACAGGATTACCAGCGGTAGCAGATGTTTTACTTGAAGCTATAATGAATACATTTATAGTTATCCTTCATATGACAGAGTTGTGCCCAAAACAATGAGCAACACATTTGTCATAGTGACTGATCAATGTCCACAGTAAAGAACCAGGACAAAACACAAAAGATGGTTCTACTATATAGCCCAAATAATTGCATAATCTTTTAGCGGGAGCTGTGGCGTGTGAATGGTCTCCCGCTGTGCAACTCTTAACACACGTGCTCGTGTCGATGTGCAAGCGTTGCAGCCAGGCTCGTGTGTTGCAATTTCCCACTGCAGCCATCTTACACTCTGCCAACAGCAGTGCCAAGAGCAGTGCTGACACTGTATCATCCTCACTGGCTGCTCACTTAAGATGACTTCACCGGATAGGTCGCTCAAATCCGAGTGCTCGCTCTCAAAAGCATTTGAATGTCCTCAACCGTCCACAAACCAAAACATGCCACCTCTTCTAGGTCCCGCAGCTCTTACATCTTCCTCTAGTGGTGTCTGAACACTCCTCCAGAGTTGAATATTTTTGCACTTCTTTCTGGATGTCATTCATCTGCAAACCCTGGTTTTCTCTCCTCCCCTTCCCTCCCCTCCCTCCCTCTCACGGTGCTTGTCTGTATTCTTCACACTTTCCGGTTCTGCTCCTTCACACACTGTTGAAGCCTGATGTTGGCATGCTAAATCAGATCCACCCGAGTTGCCTTGTGTGATACTGACATAGTTTCTTCAATATTTGACCCCAGGCCGCCTGGCCCAAAGCCTTCCCCGCAGGACGTGGCTTGCATGACCCTGCTGATGAGCTCTTGCTGTTGTGTGCCCTCTGTTTTGACTTCAGGCAACTGTATGCACAGGAGGCCGCCTGCCGCCTCCAGGCCGCCGAGCGGGATGAAAAATCATTACAGAGACTTTCAAAGCAGGAATACGTGAAAATGATGCTACCCGACAGTCCACCAGGAGGAGGCAGGGGTCAAAAGGTAAGGCCACCAACTAGTCTTACGATATCTTGCGTGGCGTGAGTGCAAATGGAACCTGTTAAACTTTAACAGGAGAAAACACAGCATTGTAAGGATCAAGCTCAGATATGAGCAAACGCCCCGTAGGCTATTTTCCTGGATTCAGAGCTTGAACCAGTGCAGATAACCTCTAACCACAGAGACAGAAAAAGCAGAGCAAACATCTGCGGCTACACCTCCTCTCTCCTACCACAGCCTTTATCTCGGTTGCTATTGACAGGTAAATTCAATTTATAACAGAGCCTGAGTCTGCTCTATTGGGATGTCATGGATTAAAGGCGCAGAATGGAATGATGTTTGCTGTTGCTGGGTCTTACAGACTCGATTAATTGCATCAACCACCCCCCTCCCCCTGCACCCTTTCTGCTGTCCTCCATCTATTATCTTCCTGGAAGGGACCCTAGAGATGCACAAATGGGTTATTTTTGGATGGCACTCAATTCTTGTATAAAATCCACTTCCTCTCATGAGAGGAGGAAGACACGCAGTCTTGTCCTTGCACAAAGCATCTTGGCGCACTGATTAGTTGGTCATATTTTTGCGCATTAGCCTTTCACTGAAAAACAGCACTTTTCTGTTGTAAAATGAACACAGATGTGTCCGGGTTGCTCTTTGTCCTTTCCCTTCATTTTCACTCAATGTCTAAGAAGAGCTCAACAACAAACCCAAAGAAGCGCTCGAAGTTTAGATTGGAAGCCTTTATTTGCACACATTCACTGCCTGAAAACGTGCACATGTGGAAAAGCAATCTGGGAGGGAGATGCATGCAAGAGGGCGCTGGGCCAGATGTCCAAAGTACTGTATATAAACCATGTAAGGAATACATACGGCTCTTTTGTTGGGGGTGAATGTTTTCAATCATCAGCTGGCACATTACAGTAATGACAATGTTGGAAAAAAAACCATCGGATTGTTTCTAATTTCATACAATGTGACGTGATTGGGCCCCTATGTAATCAAGGAGAGTAATACAGGAAAGGTTAACGCATGTGTCACTTCCGGCAGCCACCCGATGCCATTCTTTGTATGGGTGAGCAGGTGCTGAAAGATTTTCTTTGGCAGCCACGGTGTCCGCCGGGATGTCCCTTCCACAGACAGGCTGACTATTGTGCAGCTGACGTAAAGGAAAGGCCGTTTGCAGTTTATTCTACCGCTCGGCTTCTCTCGTGGGAAAGAAACTGGCAACTGAATAGGTGGTTCTCCAACACATCCTCCCATGTGGCACGTCAAAGGGCTCCATATGCCCCTCGTTGGCTTTGTCCATTGAGGAAAAAGTCAGATAAATTAAGGGGAAAAAATAGGTGGATGTGTTAGTGTGGCCGATAAGAGGACGGGCTAAAGAATTCATCATAGCTTAAAACAGCCTTGGAATTTTGGGCAGTGATGCTAAGCATTGGCACTTGGAAACAGCTTAAACTATTATCCATTCATCGATTAACTGAACCGCTTTATCCTCACGAGGGTCGCGGGCATGCTGGAGCCTATCCCAGCCGACTTCGGGCAGTTGGCGGGGTACAGCCTGAACTGGTTGCCAGCCAATTGCAAGGCACACATACTGTAGACAAACCACCGTTCATGCTCACAACCACACCTAAGGACAATTTAGACTCATCAAGTAACCTAGCGTGCATGTTTTGGAATGTGGGAGGAAGCCGGAGTACCTGGAGAAAACCCACGCAGGCAGAGGGAGAACATGCAAACTCCGCACAGGAAGCCCAGAACCCAGAATCAATCCCATGAACTCTGCAGCTGTGAGGCGGACGTGCAAACCAGTCGACACTTTCAAGTGTTATGTTGATGATGTTTTCTATTCAATGTCTACAGCAGCTTCACGAATCACCTCTTTCGATAAAAGCTATAAAGGCAGTAAAAATCTGGCCTCTGCAAATCATTAAGATGGAAGTAAATTCAAAAATATTGATTACAATAATATATTCTATGCTGAAATATACCGTAATTTCTGGACTATCGACCCCACCTGATTATAAGCTGCACCACTACATTTTTAAAGGAAAAAAATATTTTGTACACACATAAGCCGCACCTGTGTATAAGCCGCAGGTGCCCATATTGTAACATGAGATATTTACAAAGAAAGACGGTACACAGGCGGCCGTTAAAAAAGTCTTTATATAAGCCGCTTCATGAAATAAGCCGCAGAGTTGAAAGCGTGTGACAAAAGTCGCGGCTTATAGTCCGGAAATTACGGTATTTGTGTTTTGGGAATATGAATTAGTCAGTAAAATCCACCCGTTTTTATCCACATCAAGTGATGACCATTTGGCCTCTTGCTGTTGACTGAAAATGACATCACACTGGCAAAATGACCTCCCCCTGAGATGGAAAACAAAGATGCATTTTGTTGCCTAATTCATATTCCACAAACGTAAGATTAATCACAATCCAGAGTTTATACTAGTGGGGTCGCATTGTACATATTATTATAAAAAACTTTTTTGAGTTGACTTCCCCTTTAAGCTCTATCGCCAATGGTTTCATCGACCTTTAGTCTATTTGTGTGTGCTGTAATCAAGGTTATTTTTGCTTCACAGGAGGGAAAGTTCTGAATGCTAGTCAACATTTTGATGAGTAAGAACTTCACAGGGTTTTACAGCTTCCAATAAGGCAGAGTTTGTAAGCGCCTTTGAATTCCAGTCTATCTTCACTTTAAAGATGTACAAGCAGTTTGTTAGCTTCGCACTGCGGTGTTCTTTGACAGCGCTGTCTTTGAAATAGAGATGGCTGGGTGTTGGCTTGCGTCGATGCCAGTCAGTGATGGTTACAGAAGGGAGGCTGTAGGCCGACATTTACTCATCTGGCTGACAGCCCTGCATATCATTTGTGGCTACTTTTGATGCCTCTCCAACAATATTTATGTAAGCTAAACGGAGCAATGACGGATTGGGTTGCGCTGTGTGGTTTTGCGTGTAGAGATCCCTGTCAAAATTCTGGCCATGGCCTTGAAACTCTGTATGTATCCATTGTGGAATAATGCTTCCCGAACAGACATCCCCTCAGGAGGAAAATGCTTTTCCAACTCTCCTTCCGTAGTTGTTCTTTAACCTTGCATGGTGATCACTGCACCGGCCTTTGAGAGTCCATTCTCAGTGTATTGTGGCAAGCACACACACAAAGCAGTTTGCACGGTATATGCCTTCTAGAGCAAGTGTGCAGTCGGCTCAGCAAAAAGGCGATTTAGCAGACTGCACTATTGGCAGTACCTTGATAAAAGCCGATGCTAGAAGCATCTCTTGCATTATGTTATTTTGTTGAAGTACATTTTAGATTTCAGCAGAATAGAAGCTCTGATTTGTTTGAATTCATACTTCTTTTTTTTTTTGTTTTTATCTGAACTAATATATAGTGAATTTACTCAAATGGTCATAAAATGCTTAATAACTATAGAGGCAATTTTTTTCATCGAAGTTTGACATTCCCGTAATCCAAGTATAAAAACTAGTCAACCACTCTTAAATATAAAATGTAGAAACAATACAAGTTCACTTTTAAACTACAAGTGATTTTGAGGTGTACATTACATTCTTCATAAACTCTGGGTGTTGACTTTGGTTGTATTCTACCAAGCAGCTCATTGATTACTGTTGTTGTTCTCGCTGTTATCTCCTTCACCACCCACTGTTGTTTAAAGCGCTAAGTGCTTTCCAATTCTCGGACACTCCCTTTTGATAAGTTGTTCTTTTTCTTTACTCCACCCAGCTGTCTGTGACAGGAAGTCTGTCGCCACGTCATTCCCTGTACCGGACGTTATCGGATGAGAGTGTATGTAGCAACCGCAAGGGCTCATCGTACGCTAGCTCCCACAGCTCAATGCTGGACCAAGCCATGCCGAACGACATCCTCTTCAGCACCACACCACCTTACCACTGCACCCTGCCTCCTCGCATGATCCACAACCAGCCGCAGTCCAACCTGAGGAGTAAGTACAAGCTTGGTAGAGAAGACACTGATTAAAATGACCAAATATTTACTACAATTGTATGGTTTTGAGCAAGCGAGTCATCTTATTGAAGTGCCTCTTCTCAATAGCGAGACTTGGCTCCAGATGAGAGTCAGCATATAGATACTTGTTTCAAGAGCCACTTGTATCAAAACAATTCCACTGGCCCCACCAGCAAAACACTTGAACAAAACTCCTTGGCATCACCAGCTAATTGGAAGTGTGTGTTAGGTGGCGTGATGCCTACAAGAGGCTCGCTGCACCGTCTGCATCGAGCTGACAGCTGTCACTGCTCGCTAGTTCTGAATATATATTAGTTTAAAAAAAAAAGTATCATGTGTCTTGCTTGCACCATTGCGGGTCTTCAAGCTCAGCTCCGACGTGAACATGGCCATGTTTCCATGCTTGTGTGTGTCAGACGTGATGTTTCATTCACTCATCAGTCACTGTCTGCTTCCCCTCTCTGTCCCTCATGTCTCATTTCCACATTATTCCTCAGTTGTCTCTGGCTGCCGCTGCTAGTCAGAAAACAGCTTTTTGGTTTAGGTGGGGGCAGATGGGGGGTGCTTGGCTCCTTAGCCTTGTGGAGCTGTCAAACTGATGGATTCCTGATTGTTTTGAAGGGTGGTGAAGAAGAGCGGTTTCGCTTTTTCCATTCTGAAATAGCCCAATTTAGTAAACAGCGAATCCCTCAAACTGCTGGCTAAATAGAACGGAAGCATCGGCTCAAGATCTCTCTCGGTCTCTCTGTGCTTCCCATCTTATGCTTCTTGAAATGGCTTTTTGGAATGGTGGCCTGCTGATTGCATTGGATATATATATATTTTTTTTTTTTTTGCGCCAAGGCTTGGGTGAAGACGGGTTCAGGGAAGCTTGATCAAAATAGGACTTTCACTTTGACAGGTTATCTATTTGCTCTCTCAGTGTTTTCCAATTGTTATGCAGAGAAATTGGTTTCATGTCACGCCACCCAGCTGTGCACAGTCTGTGTCTTTCAAGTTACTTTGCAGTTCAAGTCACTTAAATGTCAGATTCTAAAGAGCTGTTGAGCTAAGCTTATATGAAAGGCAGCTGTTGTTAATATACATCCTCAAGAAATGAGATTCCAACTCCCACCCCCACCTCGATGCCCACTCCTTCCCTAACCCTTCACATATGCCGTGCTGCAAATTGATGGGCAACTCCAGATCAGTTTCTGAGCCCGAAACTCAGCACCAGGCCCAGACACTGATCCGGGCACCCGCCTGTCTCTGCAGATGAGTTTTGGTTCTCTGACGGCTTCTTGGCAGACAGGTCCAAGTTCAGCGACCCGGGCCTCATGCCCCTCCCAGACACTGCCACAGGCCTGGACTGGTCTCACCTGGTTGATGCAGCAAAAGCCTTTGAAGGTAACCTGCCTTCCTCCAGCTGCTAGCGCCCCCTAGACACCACCTCGCCTTTCCTCTTTGCTGCTTAGCTTACGTGTTTGTCTGTCTGCAATCTGCAAGAACTTTCTCTCTTGCATGTGTAGGTTTAGAAGAGTGTTAGGCAACCTTTGGGAATTGTTTGCATTTTATCCTCTCCTCTGAGCCTCATTCTAATTCCTGTCAAGCACTTTTGCTTGGAAGTTGAGCCTATTTTGACACCGCAAGCCCAACTACTCAGTACTCAGTAAGCAATCAGCCTTCAGGTGGATTTTGGCCTTTTTTCTACAGCACGATAGATTCATGGAAATTGGTTGTGTGGCTTCTTCTCTGCCAAGACCAAAAATAATGTGATGGTGCAAGACTCCTCTCTGCCAGCTTATATTATGCATTAAGCAGAGCAGCATTTGCAAACTTGTTCTGATCTTGAAGAACAAAAATACTAATATGATAATAAAATTATCCTGTTCCTGTCCTGTCCTCGGTGGTTGCAATGTGTACTGTATTAAAATTTGTCAACTCGAATAAAGACGATGACGCATATCCCTCATGAAAATTATATACTCCCTACCCCCAATATTATAATAAATTGTTGTCTCCTCAAAATGATCAGAGCGACTGGTCCCTATCATCTCAAAGAGCATTTTAATGGCATTTAAGAAGTGATGACACGTGTCATCATTTCCTCATGGTCAGCATCATGTTCTTTTTTTTCTCACCATTTTACGAGCCTGCTTGCAGAGTAGTCCCCATTTGTCACAGAAACGCCAGCATGCCTGAACTCCCTGTGACCCCGAATTAGTCCCCGAAGCGGGCAATGTAGCATGTGACCACTCGTTTGTCATAATTAATAAGAACTCCTGATTCAGATTCCTTACTGATACATTTTCTGCTGCATTGCCCTGCAGCAAAACATTTAAGTGGAATAGAAACAGTGAGGATGATGCAGAATGTGACAGGCAGCCCTATCGGATGCGAACGACAGCGCGTACAAACGGAGGCTTGTTGTTGGAGCAGAATGTGGCTGGAGGCTCTTGTTGTGCCATGCATGTACATGTATGCTTTACTGCTTAGAGCAATGCTTTTACCCCCGCTGCTCACTTGGACCCCGAGACACTTATGCAGAGCAGATACAAAGGGGGGTTACTACATCATAGCAAGAAAAATATTCCGTTTCAATTGCCTCGTTTCAGTAAAACAGCACAAATGATTACGACACACGGGTGTAATATACTGGATATATTTTTTTCCAGTCAAATCCAATAGCTACTGTTTGTTTTGTCTGTTTGTCTGTTCAAGCTGGACTCTACATCCCCAAAACCCACAAACTGCTTTTCTGTGTCTTTCGTCTTTCAAACACATATGTCGAATATGAAGAAAATATTCATTCATATGGAAATGAAAGCTTGGTGTCCCTTTCCTAGCTCGTCTGAGCATCCACCTCCAGACTCAATTAGCTTTTTTGTCTTTGACTGGATTAGCGCTACATTAAAGGATGGGGGGTTTCTTAATCTCTCCTGTGAATATGTAGATTCCCCTATATTGTGTCTCACACCACGGGCGCTGGACGGAGACTCTGCTTACTGAAGAAAAGAGCATTATGCCTCAAAAACTGAGCAGTCCCAAGCATAACATGCTAAATTTGGCTTTTCCAGTGGGATTTGAGGAAGCTTAAGAGCCTGATACGGGAAAAGAAGCATGCCTGATTTTTCTCAGCCCATTAAGAACCAAACAGCTGCCAGAGGAAAACTCTGAGACGTGGGATGGACTCAACGCTCTGTTTACCACCTTGTTCCATATTGTCTGCATCCTGATCACTCTGTGGGAGTGCGAGAAAGTCCATGTTCCCCTCTCCCCACCCGCCCACACCCTTTAAACAAAATCCTTGCTTCATACGTTGCTTGAATGAGTTGCTCTATCTTAACCGGGACATGTGCTTTTTATAGCTGAACTTCTGACCTAATTTGTTTCCTATTGTGTCTGTAGACCAGCGTGTGGCATCTTTCTGCACGATGACAGATATGCAGCGGGCCGAAGCACTGGAGATATCTCGAGAGCTGACCAGACGGGTTGTGGAGGCAGAAGGAGCGGCCCTGGACACAGAGTACGTACTAACATGAACATTCTGTATAGGCCCAAGCAAAAACTCTGTTTTCAAATGATTTCATCTCATCATCCAACACTATCTGTACTTTACTAACTGTGTGTCTAAAATGTATTCCAGTATACTTGTAACTACAGTACAAATATTTAGTCTAATCTGCACAGTTATCGCATTCACTGCCGCTGCCTGTTATTGCCGCATTTTTTGTAATTCATGTCTGCATAAGATAAGACTGTATGCATAGAATAGTATATTGTTTTTATAAAATATGTGTTCCTTTGTTGCTGTCACCGTCCCACCGGTAGTATTGGTGTCGTTTACTTGATTTTCAACTATTTACATATAGTTTGTTTACGGATGCATGTAGTTTCAACATGCCCTGCTGCTGACTGTTGTGTCTGCTGTTTATATCAATTGCGTTTGCAGTTCTTAAATCATTCCATAAACTGCTCCGAAACATGAAAATCCCATCCCTAAAAATATGTTGGATTTTATTTTTTTATTTTTTGTAGTTAAAGGCCAAACCTAGAGTTTTCGGATAATCAGAAGAATACTTACTAGTACTTACTTTTAGTGTTCTCAGTCCACTGCGTGGTTGCTTACTTCGATATTTTATGATGTATAAGTACTGTATTGTTTTTGTCTGCTGCAGTACAGTAATTTCTCCAAAGGAGACAAATAGACTTTTTGTTCTTCTGTTCTCTCTTTCACTATGCAGCGTCCCATCGACACTCACAGGCAAAGTGAACCAGCTCGAGGTGATCCTCAGGCAGCTGCAGCATGACCTCCGAAAGGTAGCATCCCCAAAATCTAATGTATGGCTTCAGCGTTTCATCGTTACGTTTGCTCTCCATCTCCATGCAGCCTAGCTTAGAATAGACACATGAGTGCCCTGTGAGGTTCTGCCCAATGGCAACTTGTCCTTTTCATTCAATAGGCTACTTTGCTTGCCCCTTTGTACCCGGCCTTCATGTTTCCCCACCTCTAATCACTCCGAAACGGGGAGGAAGTGCACCTTTATCAAGCTAAAAAGGCTGCTTTGCAATGTTAATATCTCCCTTTAATGATGACAACCGTTTGTAATGGCAAGGCTTTCATCCACCTCTTTTTAAGAATTTTTAATTATGCACTTCTTCCTTTCAGTGGTTAGCGCGTCTGACGCGGTTTAAATCTCGCCTCTGGCTTTCCCGTGTGACGTTTGCATGTTGGTGCATGTGGATACTTCGGTTAGGCTTTGGATAATTGAAGACTCAAATGTGTCCGTCGTTGTGAATGAGCACGTGAGCGGTTGTTTGTCTGTGTGCGCCCTCTAATTTGGTTGCTGACCAGTCCAGGGTTTGCTCTACCTCGTGCCCAAAGTCAGCTGTGATAGGCTCCAGCCAAGCCATGAGCGAAGACAAAACCTACAGAAAATGGATAGATGGATATATTGTATTACAGCAGCTTGATGGACTAGTGGTTGGCACATCTACCGCATGGTTCTGAGGTGGAAGGTTCAAATGCCAGCTCTGTTCTTCTTTATACTACCATCCGCCAAAACTGAGCGTGTGTTGATTGTGACTCAGGTCACCAGTCTGAGTAACATAAATGTTTTTTTTTGAACATTATTATTGTTGCTCGAATATTTGATAAATTATTGTTGAGAAAGCAGACCGATTCTGTTCACAATTATGAAAGGGCCCACTGGCCTCAAATGCAGACGTCGCTGCACGGTAAATGAAATATTGTGTGCTTGAAAAAATATATATTTTTATTTTGATGATGATTATAGTTTGTAGCTAACAACAATTTACAATCTTAAATGGGAAGACAAGTTAAAAAAAAATCTTTCCAAAATATTCTATGTATCCCCTCTAGTCTAAACACGACATTCTGATGAATATTGCGGTTGTGGAAAATGAATTAAGCAGTAAAATCCAGACTTTTTTTTTTTTTTTTATCCATCTCAGGGGGCGGCCATGTTACCACTTGCTGTCGACTGAAAATGGCATCACAGTTGCTCGGGGCTCGGGCAACGACCAATCAGGGCTCATCTGTTTTCTGAGTTTGGTCATGTGACGTTCGCTAGTTGAGCCCTCGAGTCCTTTCCCATTTATTACCTTTACCAAGGAGACTTGTTTCCATCAGCTTTAGTTTGCTTCCGTGCAATTTCCTATCTATCATTTGAACCATCCACATAGCACTATTCTGATAAGAAAGTCTTCCCATAACGTTTGGTGAAACTTCACACATGGACATAACACACACATCTCCTTAACTAACTGGATACTTTTTGGTCACTGACCAAAATGTTTTATGTGTGTGCGCGCGTGTGTGTGTTTAGGAAAAGGAGGACAAGGCGATGCTACAGGAGGAGGTACAGCACCTGAGGCAGGACAACATGCGGCTGCAGGAGGAGAGCCAGACGGCGTCGGCTCAGCTCAGGAAGTTTACCGAGTGGTTCTTTCACAGCATCGATAAGAAGCCCTGAAAATGGAGACGAACGAGGTGGACGCCGCACACTCAACTCGGACTGAAGGCTCACTACACAACAAGTGAATTGTGTTGTGGAGTCTCTAGAAAGAGTTCAAGTGTGGAGAGACTCGCATTATGTGAACAGGCCTCCTCGTAAACAGTGCAGAGCCGTCTGTATGTGACATAAACAGTTTCTCCATCGCGCCAGCTGGGACTCCTCCTGGGAAATTCCCTCATCTCCGGCTGCGGAGAGGAATTCTTCCATGAGATCCTCTTACAGTCGTGGAATGTAAAGCTCATTTACTGTCGTCAACTTGTAACCTACCTACGTACTGTATGTCACGTCAGTCTACTGTACCTGCAGCTGTACTCGGCTCCACGCTCCGTCACAGCTGCTCCGGGAAGAGGATTTTGTGAAGTGGTACACGCTCAAGAGGAATCAACTCCTGGGTGAAAAGTACAGCTGGAGGAATAATGAATGTACCTCATCTTGAGACTTTTTGGTTTCCCTAAGTGACTAAAAGAAAGGGGATTTATCTGCGCCTCTTTCGTTCTTGTTATTTCAACTCAACTCCACTTTTTGTTGCGTCAGTGTTGTGATGGCGTGTCACATTTCGGCAGCGGTTTTGATGTTCAAAGGTGCTTTTCCCTACACACGATTGTCGGTAGTCTTCAGTCACTGTCGCGCTGTCCTAGCAATAACAAGTTGTAGTTATGAAACTGTGTTAGGAATAAAACTATGGAGAGGTTAGCACAAACATTAAACAGTTGTACTCTAAAGCAGGAGATTGTGCCTAAAACTTTTGGGTGTAAATCGGATTGTTCCTCTCGGCTTTTCTAAACACGTCTCGTCTGTGGCTCACTGATAGAAACGTGTGTGTTTGTGAGTGCGCCCCTGTGTGTGTGCGTGTGTGTGAGCGTGCCTGTGTGCGAGACTCGGTGTAGTTTATCACAGCAAAATATGTCCGTATGCAGTGGTTTTCAAGAGCATCATAGCAAGCGCCAGTAAACCACAATTACAATGCCAAATGTGTTGATTTCTGTACATATCGGCCACAGAAGTGTCTTGTATTTAACACTGTTATTTAAGTTTATTTAACCTAAAGTTGTTTATTTTATTAAGGGTAATGGATTTTCTCTTGCTGCACTAAGGAGAGAGATAAAGCTCTGTGTATGTTGTAAAGTGTGTAGCTGGGCAGGGCTAAAAAAAATAAAAATAAATAAAAACAAAAAACACAACTATATATTTAAATATATAAATGATGACTTTGGAGATTCCAACATTTGGATGCTGCTAGATTACAGTTTGCTGGTTTGTTTGCTTTTAAACATGTTGCTCCGTCTCATTCCCGGGGAGGGGGAGACACTGGATGTTGTTTTTGTGTTCCGTTTTTTTTTTTTTTTTTTTTAATAAATGTAGATGGGAATATTTGGGTTTACGGTTTCTTTTATTCATTTAATTCATACTAGTTTGGAGAATTAAGGAACCAATTACACTTCGGTGAGGATCGCGTTTGAACAGTCAAGCCACCAGATTCCTAATGACCAACTGTCTGTTTTTCATCTGGCATGGACCAAAATATAATGTGTCTGCTGTCTACGGAACAAAAAGGACCCTAATGTCCTAAATTAAAATTAATTTATGGCTTTTCATTTAATCATTTGACTGATGACCAGTCCAGGGTGTACCCTGCCTCTTGCCTAAAGTCAGCTAGGATAGCATCCAGCTCAACCGGGAGAGTATGAAGATCAGAGCAAAAGAAAATGGGTGGATGATCATTTGCAGCATTGCTAAAAAGATGAGCAATGGCGGTCTTGAGTGGTAATGGATCTGTGAATCTCACAAGGTCAACAAGACTTCAAAAAGTGCAAGCAGAAAAATGAAAAAAAAGTTTTGTTGGGTTGCAAAGAGCAATAAGTTGAAAAGTGTGTCTTTGTATGGTGGTGGTTAAGTCGTTTATCCTCGCCACTGTCTCTTGATGCCCTTATGGAAAAACGAGAAAAACGCTTCCAGTGCTGTTCTTCATGGAAAGAAAATATGCTGTTCTGATAAAAATGCCGTTATTGAAATATCCTCGCTAATCGATTTAGGGGTTGCAATTTTTTTATGGCTTTCAGAAACTGATGAAAATGGATTTACAGCAAAATTGCTTGGTTGTATTGTTGCCAATCCAGCTGTCAGGCCTTGCTTATGATACCGGATGTGAAGAACCGTAACTGTTTGATTAAAAAAGGGTAAACCAGCTGAAAATGTGTTGCACTAAGACACAAACCGTCTTAAAGTAAGTGTGTGAAGCATTTGCTTACAGTACACAGAAAACTAGTTTGAATGAGTCATGTGTTCATTTTAGGTAATACAAAATAGATGAACACGATGTGTTTATGAGATGTGAGTGGCTTTAAATAATTGGCAGCTGTTGCGTTCGCTGCAGGGACAGCAAGAACCTGCTGAATAATTAATCACAAGCGCCTCTGAGTGTGCACAGAAAAACAATACAATTTGCCTGCCACTTCCTTCCAGGAGCTTCCAGCCTGGGCTGCCGGAGTGTGTGACCTGGTGTGTGATGTCCTCGGACAGCTGGAGCATTATGCCAAAAGTAAGAGTGCGGCATCTTGTCCTGTCTTATAAGGGCGCTTTTGGTCTTTCTGTTACGTGCATGTATGATGGGGCTGGAAAACACGCTCATCATACATTTAGCGCACTGCAAATGAGATCATGACATGACGAAGAGGCTTCCAAAATGAAGTGCCATGGAACAAACCTGCAGAGGTCATGTTACCAGGCCGCCTGCATTGGCTCCCTTGGGAACCTCGTGATCGCTATCTGACCTCAGTCCAGCCAAAATGGCAGCACGGCCGTGTGCGTGCATGTGGAGGCGCTCTGGTTTTGAGCTGTGAGATTAAGTAGATAATCTCCATGCGTGTGCACGTTGCCAGGACAGCAGATGGGGGGACCGGGCTGGCCCAAGGTGCAAGTGTTGCCAGTGTTGGTTCAGATGGGGGAGATTTGCAGGCAGGCGCTATGATCGGGAGTTCAAGCGGCAGCCAAAGACAGGTGCCAAAGGGAGAGGGATTCGAAGAAAGCTGGATTCCAATTCGTACTCGGAGACGCATGCTGACAAGCAGAAAAGTTCAATCCAATTGGCTAAAAACCTCATCTAACTAGATAGTGAGACCTTACAGTCAAGGAAATATCGATTGTAATATTTGATCGTGTCAGCAGTTTATTGAACAAACCTAAGCATTTCTCTGCACACAGACACACACACACACACACACTTGCACGCACACACTTAAAAGCTCTCCCTGAATAAGCAGCTTTTGAGAGGGACACTGTTGTCCCTCAGCAGATGCTTGCCTGCTGTGAGTGTCACCATTGTTGGGATCATGTTACCCAGAATAGGACTCAAAGTGCCCAAAGCACAGCTGGCACGGTGTAGAAGGTGAGGGGAGGGGCGTTTGGAGGGGGTTATGTGTCTTTTGACCTGGTGAAGGTCACCCTATGCTAATTGTTGGCATTGTATCAAATACCTCTGTATCAGTGTTCAACTTTAGTCCAAGCAAAACAGCAACAAGGTACATACAGTCCATCCATCCATCCAATCCGAAAGTTCAACCTGGGTTTTCAAATTTTGCAAAAGCACACTTAAATAATCAACCCATGTGAGAAGATACAGTCCAATACAATTTTTCGGGGGCCTAATTCCAAAAGTTATCGAAGCCACAGTGAAGCATAGTGGAAACAGCCTCATGCTTTTAAGCTATTTTCCTTTATTCAGCTCAAACTGGGGCACTAGTCGAGGTGGAAAGAATTATGACCAGTTCCAAACACCACGCAGTATTGGCACAAAACCTTCAGGCTAATGCTAACAAAAAAAAAAAAAAATCAGGAGAAGTCTAGAAGAGTAGCTTAACTTTATTTGTCACATACCCAATTATAAGACATGTGCAATTACATTATCTCAGTTGCTTATCTCAATTTCTCCTCTCACAAAGATGCCTCTTTTTAATTGAGTTCTGCAACTTGTAGATCACATGAATGTTGGGAAATGTTTGGCAGTCATTTGTCTTGGCCTCGTTTTTTTATATCACAAAATCCTGCCGTTTGAACAGGGTCGTATTGACTTTTTATATCCGCTGTACTTCCCTCGGCAGTGAGAACCGTATCCACCGAGGAAAGCGGGGAGCCTCCGGTAATCCTCTTGTCCGTAAAGTCCTGTTGGAGCGCTTTCTTGTCTGCCGCTGTGCAGCTGCATAACCACACGCAGATGCAGTACGTTAGCATCCTCTCGGTGGAGCATTGGTAAGGAAAGAACACAAGTAGTTTCTGTGTGAGGTTGTTGTTTCTGTGAATCCTTCGGAAATAGTCTCGGCTGTGACTTTGTGATAATCTCTCTGGTGTGAATGTTCCAAGTCAGGTCGTCCTTTTTGTGCATACTCAGGAACCAGATGTTAGAAACACTCCTCAAGGAGTTACGATGTCTGTTTTTTTTCCTTCTAAAGATTATTCTTGTAATATTTGTTAAAAGTGAAGAAAATTTGCAATTTGGTTACAAAATGAAAAGATTTAACAAGCAGCATAAGTAGTCACTCTTACTTTGCTTTAGTGGGCCAAATAAAGTGATGCACCGGCGTGTGTGTGTGTGTGTATGTGTGTGTGAGTCACGCTTACCAGAGCAGCGAACAAATTGACTGACAGGAGAGGGAAAGAAGCAGCACTACTGAATATTGATGAAGTATTTAATCAAACATGCATGGGAATGACAACTTATCCAGTCCGGAAACTCAACTACCATGGCAATTTTATTTATCAAACAATAATCCGATGTAGTAATTATCACAACAGGTCTAGCTCCTCGGCTTTATATTTGACACCTACCATTTTAGAGTCTTTAATGAACCTAACATGTATGTTTTGGGGGAGGGGAAGTATGCAAACACACAGCAGCATGACCAGAGTTGAGATTTGAACGCCAAAGCTCAGAGCCTGATGTGGTCGTGTGACCCACTCAAAACCATTGGGATCCAGACTTAAACCTTCCTACGGGTCGAGTCTTACTTCTAACAAACGAACATACGAACTCTGGCTGAAACATAACCCTCTTGTCTGTGGCAGGGACAGAACGCTCAAGTGTTGTGTGCCTGGGAGGCTCAACAGCAGGATTAAGGCTCTCTCAGCAGGACTGCTTATCTGTCATCTCTCCACATTGAAACTCCCTCCAGTCCTCTGGGGAGCAACCAGGCCTCATCCCTCCACTCATAGACAGACAGAACAGAAAATGGGGCGGAAGAGGAAGAAGCTCATCCAAAACAGCATCCAATCATCTCTCCATCCACCTCTCAGGTCCCAACAGGCCGTCGCTTCGACACGTCAATCAAGTCCCAGGTCAAGCGGCCTCCTTATGAGGCCAATGAAGGGCAGCAGCCTATAAGTGATGGCCACCCTGCTGGCCCGCTCGGCCTCCAACGCATCAGAAGGAATGAGAGAAGAGGGAAAACCTTTCCAAAGGTCACCCTTGTCTCTTGCGGTCAAAGTGTAAATGAGTTGAAGAAACAGGAATGAATAGATACAACAGGATGGAATTATCTCGGTGTGCATGGATGTCCTTGTCTCTTGTCCTTTTCAGCCTTCGAGCGGCGAGCAATGGAATCGATTCTCAATTGGCCTCCTCCTCTTTCGAGCGGGTGGGCTCCGCTGAGGAGGTCTTCTGACTCTCCACATTTTTTTTTTTTTTTACATATTGATTTATGCAAAGTTGCACTAGTCTGGGCCCTGACCCGCATGGTGATTGGAAGGGTCATGAGAATATCGATGTCCACGGGTGCATGCGAGGTGTGATAGTGGGGGCGTATCACAGTGAATAACAAACAAGCCCCACTGACCCATCGTCAGCTGTAAAAGCTTAAACTGGAGCTTCAATCGATCCAACGCGTGGGAGCAGAAGGTCAGATGCAAATTGTGATCAAGTGTTAGTGGAATGAAAAATACCATTAGTCATTTTTACGTGTGATTTCCCATCAAAGTGTAAAATAGGAAGCAAGCTTCGTCCACATGAACACATTGGTTATTACCGCATTGATTTTTCACCCATATAAGAATTCTACACAAAGTGCTATGAAGCTCCACCAAACCCGCCACTGCACGCCATTACTGAAGTGTCATTGTCCCATTTGGACTGTTGATTTAGCACCGTGGAGGAGTACTTGGCAAATCTGCCTCACAGTTTTGAGGTTCGGGGTTGGATTCTCAGGTCTGGCCATGTTTTTGGGGCATTTGCATGTTTGCCCGGTGCTCAAGGGGTTTTATCACACCTTCCTCCCACAATGCGAAAACATCCATGTTAGGGTCATTTAAGTCCATGAATTGTCTATTGGTGAGAATGTATGGATGTGAGTGTGAAT